GAGCCCGACGCGGGGCTCGAACTGACGGACCGCGAGATCGTGACCTGGCTGAAGTCGGACGCTTAACCGACTGCGCCACCCAGGCGCCCCATCAGTTTCCTATTCTTAAAGGTAACAACCAATTCCACTCATTAAGGTCCCTGTAGTGGCCAGACTCTCACAATGCTCTTTGAAACCATCCCAGGAAAAATGGAAAAACAGTGTCTTCCTTGGCAAGTCTCGGGGAGGATGAAGTAGAATAACGCAAGATCAGGACAGTACCGGGCACTTAGCACTTAGTCCCCCTGATTTTACACCAGCTCTTCTCTTCTCCAATTTAGGTTCTTGGGTGTCCAGCAAATAACTTCTTTGAGGTTTCCTTTGGGGCTCACTGTGGACTCCGAGGGTCATAAATCAATGAAACCGGCAAGGAAAAGTTTGGTATCAGATCGAAACCAGCAAGCGCCCAGCTTTACCTTTCCAGCCGAGCAGCCTGGGGGAAAACCCTCAGGATTTCGCGGTGGAGGCTTTCCCTTTGCTCGAGGGCCTTCACTTTCATCTCCAGCAGGTAATTCTTGCCAAATTTGCTCTTCAGGTGCTGGATGGAACCGATACACCTGGAGGTTGGAGGAGGATGAGGTCGTAAGAGAAAGGGGAACGGGACAGAGAACACCACGCTTGAGACCCTTGGTGTCCAAAGGACCTCACTGGTGGACCCAGATGCAGCAGCTACAGCCGCACGGAGACCTCCCTCTGTCCACAGACTCCTCCGGCCGTGCACCTGGGCGCCCAGCGCGGGGGTGGACGGGCACCCACCTCAGCCTTCCGGACACCATGATGGCCACGCGGTCACACACGGCCTCCGCCTCTGCCATGTAGTGGGTCGTCAGGAGGGCGCCTCTCTCCGTGTTCTTAAAGGTGGCCCGGATTGCCTGCCTGCATCGTCAAAGGACCATGTGCAATTGCGAAAGGCTTTTCGTTAATCGTAAGTGGGCAGAGAGAAGAATTTGTAACTGGCACGAAGGTTGAGTCATTTGCAAAAAGAGCTTAAGCAAGGGAGGGACCCGTACGGGGTGGGGGGGGGGGTGGGGAGGCAGGTGGGAGGAGGGGAGGGGGGAGCCAGGTGTTGGAAGAGGAGCGGGCACAGAATACCGTGTCGATCACGAGGTGGCACTGAAAGAGAAATGCTGAGCAGGAGACTGGTTACGAAAAGGCTGCGCAAAGGAGCAGGGAGAATCCAGCAACAGAGGTGTCACAGCCTCGTAGGAGAAAATACATTCCTAAGAAATATACAAGGTGACACGGAGGACCCGATCCCACCTCGACAACCTAATACTGGGCCCTCGCTCTAAAACACCAGCCTGGCGTGGTTATCACCGCGGCGATCAACGATGCCTACTCTTTCTTCGGTGATGGACTATCATCGGGGAGAGGTTTCCTTTTTGGTTTGCCAAATATCGGTGGCCCTAACGATCCTGAGAGGTGTCTCCTTTAAGAGACAGTTTAAGGGGCCATTCTTACAGCAGGAAAGCAATTCACAGATTTCCTACGGGGCACTGGAGCTGGCCCCGACGGGGTCGTGCCCCCTCACCACATGTGCTGCTGCCCCTCGGGGTCCATCCCCGTGGACGGCTCGTCCAGAAGCACCACCGATGGGTTTCCCAGGATGCTCAGCGCGAAGCACAGCTGGAATGAGAGGAACAGCGTGTCTGGGGCCGACATGTGGGGTGTGCAGAGGAACGCTGAGCCCCCCCTCTTACCTTCCTCTTTACTCCCTCGGATAAGGTCCTCACGGGCAGCTTCAGCTGGTCCTGAAGCTTGAGTGCATCCACCAGCCTGAAGGAGGGAAACACGATGGGGCATCACAGTGAGGAAGTTGGAAGGAGGGCAGACCCGCAGCCCAAGGATGCAGAGCGGAGCTCAGAAATGCGGTTCTGAAAATAGACGCCAGGCGATCTTTTCTTTTTTTTTAAATTTTTAAAAATGTTTTAATTTATTTCTGAGAGAGAGAGAGAGAGAGGCCCAGAGTGTGAGCAGGGGGAGAGGCAGAGAGAGAGAGGGAGACACGGAATCTGCAGCACGCTCCAGGCTCTGAGCCATCAGCACAGAGCCCAACGCAGGGCTTGAACTCACAGACCGCAAGATCATGACCTGAGCCGAAGTCGGATGCCCAACAGACTGAGCCACTCAGGTGGCCCTACATGCCAGGCAATTTTAAACTGGTTGGTCTGATCCCCTCAGAGAGAGAGTTTTCTCTTTTAAAAGAATAGAAGCACATTTCATGATTTCTAAATAGTTGTGCCAAAATAAATACTTTATACTGAATTGTACTTATATTTTGCTTTTTAAAAAATATTTATTAAAAAAATTTTTTTTAAATGTTTATTTTTGAGAGAGACAGAGAGAATGTGAGTGGGTTGGGGCAGAGAGAGAGGGAGGCGCAGAATCCGAAGCAGGGTCCCGGCTCCGAGCTGTCAGCACAGAGCCTGATGCGGGGCTCGAACCCACGAGCTGGGAGATCATTACCTGAGCTGAAGTCGGACGCTCAACCAACTGAGCCACCCAGGCGCCCCCAAAAAATGTTTATTTATTTTTGAGAGAGAGAGAGAGAGAGAGAGAGAAAGAGAGAGAAGCCTAAGCAGGATCCATGCTGTCAGCAGAGACTGATACAAGGCTCGAAGTCACGAACCGTGAGATCATGATCTGAGCCGAAGTTGGGCGCTTAACTGAGGCAGGTGCCCTATGCTTAATTTTAGTATTTTTGGTAACTTTCACTGATGGTTACTTTTTAATTTTCATATTCAGTATGAGAGGAAAATGAACACTTTGAAATACAGGCAACGGGTTTCTAGTGGGGAATCTACCCAGTGTGGTCTGGGTCAGGGGTTGATCGCTCGCTCTCCCTCTCGCTCTCCCCCTCTCTTCCTCTCGAGAGAGGAGTCTTCCGTCCAGAATGACAGTGAAGCTCGTCACTCCCAAATGTCCCGCACCCTCAGGCATAGAACACCTGTGGCTCCCATCTACCTTGTGATGGTGACTGCCGCATCGGCTTTCCTGAGCCCTTTCACAGCAGCGAACACCTCCAAGTGCTCCTTCGTGGTCAGGTTGGGCCACAGCACGTTCTCCTGAGGACAGTACCCTAGGAAACCCAGGGAGTCCTCTTCACGGCTCCCTTTTAGTAGCACCTGCAGAGGAAAGTTCACGCTCAGAGCCTGCCCTCTGGGTTTGTTTGCTTCCCCTGCATATTTCAATGGCATCTTTCTCTTACAAACCTAGAAAAACTAGAGACTCTCTAAGTCCTAATCGGGTTGACCAATCTGTCATCAATCTGCATTGAAGAAAGGTCATCAGAGAGCAAGCCCATGAAAACAAGTGAGTGCCCCACCTAACCGGAGCTGAAAAATCAAAAGTCTCACCAATGGGACCGTCTTGCCATCGTGGCCAACAGTTTATATACAATTTCCTCGTCGCAGTCAGGAAGAAAGTATATGAATTGGTGAATTTCATTACTCACTATTGGATCCGTGATCCAATGTTTTTTGAGAGCCACCCATGTAACAGCCAGCACCCCTCTTATTTTGGGGGTTTTCCTTCTACCAAGTGAATCGGGCAATAAAGAAGTAGCAAAATGAATGGATGGAATACAGGCAGCTTGTGAGGGGTACCGTAGTGGGAGCAGTCCGGAAGCTGGGTTGGGGAATACCAGCGGAGATGAGTAGGTAGGGTCATCAGAGAAAGCCTGTTTGCTGAGGGGCCATTGTGGGGGGAGAGCAAGAGGGCACCTGCCATGGAAAAGCCCAGAGGAAAGGAATCTGGAGCAGAGGAAAGAGCCAGAGCAAAGCCCTGCGCCATAATGAAGCTTGATATGTTCTTCGACCCTAGACAAAGCTGGGGGCCTGGGGCCGAGTGAGAAAGCAAAGAAAGGCGAATGGAGAAGGAACATGATGATAGGTCCCTGCAGCTGCCAGCAGGTGGGGGGGTCCGGGGTGGGGGTGGGGTGTCCTTCAGCCTTGGTGCAGTAAGAGGTTGTTGAAAATATTTAAGTAGGACAATGACATTGTTTATAAAGATCACACTGGCTGATCTGATGACAGCTAATTTCATGACACCCAAATAGCTGACTTTGTAACTCAGATCTTACTTTAAAAAAAAAATGCTTAGTATGTTCTATTCTCAGGATTTTATTTTATTATACTTTTTAAAGTTTATTTATTTATTTGGAGAGCGTGGGAGAGCGAGAGCAGGGAAGGGGCAGAGAGAGAGGGAGAAAGAATCCCAGGCAGGTTCCGCACTGTCAGCACAGAGTCTGATGCGGAGCTCGAACCCATGAACCGCGGGATCATGACCTGAGCTGAAATCAAGAGTCGGATGCTTAACTGAGCCACCCAGGCACCCCTGTCCTTTTTAAGTAATCTCTACACCCAACGTGGGGCTCGAACTCACAACCTGAGATCAAGAGTTGCACGCTCTACCGACTGAGCCAGCCAGGTGCCCCAGAACGTACCTACCTTTGAAAATATTTCATTGCCATGTATCTATGAGCAGTTACTTCCTCCTTTTGTACTCATGTGTGATGAGAAATAAAATAATGATGTAGGGTCCAGGTGGTGACTGAACTGAAGGGTGGTCTCAACTGAAGGAATCCAGTTAGAGTTGACCAAGCCACCAACCTCCCTGAGTGGCCCCCTTCACAGACACCTGCTCTCGGCTCGGCTTCAGAGGGATTGTGGATATGTTTTCTCTTCCGTCTTTAGTGGGTTGTCAATCACTTTATAGGAGGTCTTTTCCCTCCAGGCTGACCACCAACCCCTTTCCCACGGTGCAATCCCCTAGACCTCTGCATTATATTCTGTTCTCCACAACCCCAGACATACTTTCCAAAGGAGCGAGCTCTTAAAGTTTTCTTTTTTTCTGCCAAGGAGTTTGGGGGGAAATGTTGTCTCTCTCTTTGATAAATCTGAGCCCCTTTGTTTTTTCAGACCACTTTATACAGTTCAATTGCATGTACAATTCAAGTTGACTTCATATCCCTCAACTTTGAGCCATTCCTTACAAATACTCCCAAGAAATAGTGGATCTGTACAAAAATATACGTTCCAGTGTCCAAGCACGTTGTGTAGGACAATGAATATAATTACTTAATAAAGGTGTTTTTTTTTTTTAACATTTTAATTCGATGTTAAAGCATTACATGCAGGGAAAACAATGTTCATTGAATGTGCAAATCCTGTATGTCTACTATATTTCAATTTAAAAAAGTCTAAAACAGGGTCACCTCGGATGGCTCAGCCGGTTGGGCATCTGACTTGGGCTAAGGTCATGATCTCGCGGTTTGTGGGCTCAAGCCCCATATCAGGCTCACTGCTGTCAGCGCAGAGCCCTCTTGGGATCCTCTGTCTCCCTCTCTCTGCCCCTCCCCTGCTCGTGCTCTCTCAAAAATAAATAAAACATGAAAAATAAATACATAAAAATTTTAAAACTCTAAAACAAAAAAGTAACGCGTTACACTGCACTCACTGTTAGTAAATGGAAGCAAATAGTTTGTCAAGAAAAACAAAGTGCAAATGCGTGTGTTTTATGGTATTGTAAATAAGACTTGTATGGATTCTGATATTGATTTCTGGTCGGATACTGAACATTCCCTCTAAATGTCTTTGAAGGCATAAGTAATTGCTCCCTGGCAGCGATTAATTTTTCTGTGTATGAACACGTTAATTTGTGAATGTATTATTCTGCTACTTTACTTCAATCATCTAATGATTAAATGATATTTGCTGTTTACAAAGCTTTAACATCTTATAAATTAAAAAAAATTAAAATCAAAATTAAATGATATTTGCTGTTTACAAAGTTTTAACATCTTATAAATTAAAAAAAAATTATTTTTGGGAGAGAGAGACAGAAGGCAAGCAGTGGGAGGGCAGATAGAGAGGGAGACACAGAATCTACAGCAGGCTCCAGGCTCTGAGCTGTCAGCACGGAGCGTGATGCGGGGCTCAAACTCACGAGATCGTGACCCGAGCCAAAGTCGGATACTTAATCGACTGAGCCACCCATGCGCCCCAACATCTTATAAATTTATTAGCATAATTATATTATGATTATAACATATTATAATTATATAAAACATAATACATTATAATTATATGTGATATATAACCATTTAATTATATTAAAATATGATACATTAAAGTATATCATAATTATAACTATAATATGTATTAAAATTAATGTAAATTATTAGCCTAATTCACTTACCTGTCCAGCAGTTGGTTTTGTGTCTCCAGTTATCACCTTAATGGATGTACTTTTACCAGCTCCATTGTGTCCTAATAATCCTAAAACCTCACCTGAAAAAAAATGGTTACACTTAATATTGACTTTCTCTCTCAAAATAAATAAACAAAAAAATTAAAAAAAAATGTAACAGAGTCTGAAGACTTGCCATGTGACAAGTATCATGCTATGTGCTTTATACACATTATCTCATGGACTTGTCAACCCTGAGAAGTTGTTACCATAATCCCTTCTTACGTATCTGGGGCCGGCTCCCAGAGATTAGGTTAGCTGCCCACAGTCACACTGATAGGAAGGGGTAAAGCCACTCCTGGAAACCAGCCTGTCATACTCTTGTCTCCTGCGACCCTAAGCACTCCATGATAATGACACAAAATGAGGTCATCTGACAGCTGCTGGTCAAATCTTCTGACTGGATGGGTACAACCCCAGTTAGTTCTCTTGTGAAGAAGAACACTAGGAAATCAATCATGTTCATTACATAGAAATGTCACAGCTCCAGTGGTTCATTTTAATAGACTGCTCATGGTTTCCATGTAGATGTGACTGTGCCCCATCCGTGGGGTGAGTTAATTGATTTCACTTAGAAATGGAACAGGTCAAAGGAGCTGTCACAGTCACCTGCTGATGAGTCTGTGTGTGAACGCAAGAGGTGATGCATCAGATTCTCATCAGGAACCATAAAGCTAATGAGGGCCCCAAGCCAACAGGGGATGAGCCATTGGGGGCAAACCTTTTCTAACACAGAAAGAGACATTTCTCGTGGCTATTTTCTTCTTCCTCTTGGAAAAGCAGTGCTTCCTCTTCTGTGCATACTCCTTGCGTAGACAGCTGGCAATAATGACCGGTCTCTGTAAATAACAAATAAATCACATCAGACCTTAATTCTCTCCGTTAACTTTGAAGAAACTCTGTCTCCCCACTGAGTTGGTGCCTCATGGCACAAGCCAGGCATCACAGAAGACCTTCTCCTAGGTGACATGTTTACTGGCCATTCTCCAATCCTAGTCCTTATTTTTGGTCACGTTAACCCCTGACAAAGGCAGTTACTCAGCAGCACGTTATTTTGTGCAGAACAGGAGCAAAGAAACTTGGGGAAGTACTGAGTCGTCCTTAAACATCCAAAACAACAAGCTGTGGACCAGACTTTGCCTTGAAGTCCGCACCGTGCACTTTCTCCAAGAAGCATTGCCACCCTATCGCTTTATTCTGGTTCTAAAGTTCACTAGGTCTTTCTTGGCTTTTGCAATTTTAATTGTTCTCTACTTGTTCTTTAAACCGTGAATGACAAACTGAGGTGACATGACTCTTAATCTGCTTCTTTAGATGTAATCATATGACCACTTCCTAAACTGGAGTTGTGGTCTTTGCCTGTATGTATTAGAGACACTCAAAATTCTATGAGCATTAGACTCGTAGCCTGACCACTTTGACTGACAAATGTTTGTGGTTTCGACGGAATCATTACCACGTATGTTTTACCTCATCGAAGTTCGTGGAATTCAAGGCATCTGCTGTTCTCACTCTTTCCATTTGGACATCTTCATCCTCCCCTTCTGGATCTTCTGGATTTTGATACACGTTGTTACTTCTTGGAGAAATTCTAGAGTCGAAAGCCACCCATTAATCACTGATTGGCAGCTTCATTCTTGTATTCAGAATACTGCATTCTTTAAACCTGATGCTTTGAGTAGGAGGCTGGGTACGTAATAAATTGTCACACTCTCCTTTAGTACCATGCGTCCTTCGCCCTTCCTCACCTTATTCCTGTCCATGGTACTGCTATATTTAGTGACCATTGCTTCTCACGTGTCTTTCGCTCTATTTAACTATGGGACGTTATTTTGTCATTATTGCTGGGCAACTTAGTATCTATTGTCTAACATAGGACTTTAGTATCCTAGTTTAGTGATGCAATTTTTCTAGAAACCCTATCTTTACCACCACCTCCCTGTTGGCATTATTGCATTTCCATGGGGAGAATGAGTTGACATATTTGGACTCAGGATGGTCTCAGAAAATACAAGTTCGATGCTTGGTCTCCTACTGAGCCTGGCCATTTCTTGGGAATATGTGCCAGATTCACTTTCTCCTCTATTTTAAGTCTGGTCCTTCATAGCTAGCCAGCTAGCTAGCTAGTTATGTCATTTTGGTCTCTCTTACCTCTGCCCTAATCCCACATACCGATCTTAGATTTCTTTTTTTTTTTTAAGTATATTTATTTATTATTTATTTTGAGAGAGAGCATGGGCGGGGGAGGGGCAGAGAGAGAGGGAGAGACAGAATCCCAAGCAGGCTCCATGTTATCTGTGCAGAGCCCAAGTCGGGGCTCGAACTCATGAACCATGAGATCGTGACCTGAGCCAAAGCAAAGTGGGATGCTTAACTGACAGGGCCACCCAGGCGCCTCGACCTTAGATTTCCTAAAGGTCATCTTTTACCTTGTGAGTCACCCACTCAACTGTCTGTCATAGTTAAAGATGAAACCAAGGTGGCATGGAAGACAGGGAATAAGATGCTTATGGACGTGTCCTTGTATGGCACAAAAAGACAATCGCAGCTTCTAAGTCCCATTATGACCTGACCAGTCTGTCATCTACCAGCTGGGCTTCTCGGCACCACAGGAAAAGAGCATAATTATTGCGGTCTTTGGCTTATTCATCATTCTAGTCTTCCTCCCTAGACTGGTAGCATTCCTTCAACTACCAATCTATTTAAACTGATTGTTGTTTAAACTGAACCAGCGGCGGAGCCCCTGGGTGGCTCGGGTGGTTAAGCACCTGGCTTCTGATTTCAGTTCAGGTCATGATCTCGCTGGTTCATGAGTTTGAATCCTGCATCGAGCTCTGTGCTGACAGTGCAGATCCTACTTGGGGTTCTCTCTCCCTCTCACCCTCTGCCCCTCCCCTGCTCGTTGTCTCTGTCTCTCTGTCTCTCTCTCTCAAAATAAAGAAATAAACATTAAAAAGCAAACAAAAAAACCTGAACTAGCAGCGTATAACTTTCCCCACCCTCTCTACTTCACATCATGTCAGACAGAGCCCTTAACAGTGAGTGTTTCAGATCTCTTTTCCTCCTCTACTTATAATCCTCTGATTTAGGTACTCAGATCTCTATATTTTGTCTTGGCATATAGCTGCGACCCCAGCCTGTTCCAGGACTTGGCCGTTCTTTGCTAAATCGTTACTTTATGCATGAAAAAAATTAACCACTGATAACTGAAATGAAAGAATCCAATTTGATTTCTCCCAACCTAAAGAAAGGATCTTTCCTCATTGACGTCTTTCCGAACTTCCATTCCAGACACCGAAGAATAAAAAGGAAGATGATAAAATGAAGGAAAGGCTAGGAATAAAGAGAGAGATGCATGGTTAGAAGCACTCAAAGAGAAATGTTTCACATCAGAAGTGAACTAGGAATGGTCGGACTTCTCCAAAGGTATGGTTGGAAAAACCATTTCAAATTTCCAATAATCTATTTGTCAAATCGTGCCACTATGAAGTTCATTTTCAATCTTGTTTATGGAAACATTAGAAGCAAATACAATTAGGTAATACCATTACTTTATGTCATTTCGTCTAAATACTGGTATAGTGTTTTCAAAATTTGGGAAGCATATTATCTAATTAGTGAGTCTTTATAGAAAAATTTGTTCCATATTTTACTAATATTTTATCTCCATGGGCTACACATACCCATATATCTACCTTAATAAAAAGCTTCACCCTGTATACAGGAATTAAAATGGTTCGTATAGGAAAAGACAACAATTTTGAAAGACAGGTGTGTTCTTACAATTAAGAATACCAGAAATGGCTCTGCACTTGTTGGTTCTTGAGTCCAAAGAGAAGACTCGACTTGCTGCAAATGGAAAAACAATGGTTACATAGGAAGGTTTTTGGTTTTGTGCATTTTTATCCATATAAACGTGAATTGGCCCACTGAACAGCCCTACTGGTATGTCCCCTGATTTCGCCATGAGTATTGGGTAGGTGTCCCTTCCAAAATGTGTATCAAAGGGTTGTATTCCTTCCACCCAAGGTCTAAGAGGCACTGTGTTTTTATTTGAAGCAATAGGATTTAGCAAGTACTCACCACCTGGTGAGAGGAACTTGGGCATGTGTTAGCCTCTCCAAGGAAGGAGAGAGAAACAGGGTTTATCCTTATCCCGCAGAGCTTCACACACCTTCCTGTGCTCATTGATCCTTCGTAAGCCCCTCCCCTCCCCCTCCCTTCCCTTTCCCTCCCCTCCTCTCCCCTCCCTTCCCCTCCCTTCCCCTCCCCTTCCCTTTCCCCATCTTCACGCATGCACTGTATCTTTCTTCCTTTTGTAGAAGTCGATTAGCTAGAAGAAAAGGATTTTATTCCTATGGAGTGCCTCTCGAGAATCGCAAGATCCCAAAGATCGGGGGTATTTCATTTGCCTTCTTCTAAAGCTGAGCATGCCTACGAGTCCATAGAGACTGCTCTGTTTCCCACCACCTGTTACCCCCCCTCCCCATGCACGGACCAGGGGCAGGTTTTCTAATGCAGTTCAGCTGGAGCACATGGGCCTATCTGGGAGGAATTCAGCTGGTATCCATGCGGTAGAAATATTTCAATGTCACGTATACTCAACATGATGTAGAACCCCAACCCCCAGCATAGCATTCACAATTGGCCAAGAGTTCTAGGACACTGGGGCAGATGGTGGCACTACTTACATAAAGAAACAAGAACATGCAGCCAATTAAGGTGGCTTGTGGTATTAAAAAGGTGATGTAATACAGCACACCATATCCAAAGTAATCCAATAGCATAAATAAAAACAAAGAGAAGGTGGCGATCTAAAGAAGATAACAGACATGCATATTAACACTTCGAATTTCAACATAGATTCCAAATTGAGACGGCTCATCTTGAAGATAACCCTAATTTCAGCCCCAGCTTCAGAAACCCAACTGAAATCAGCATTATTGCTACTGACCTGTTCTCTTAGTGACTTAGCCAAATTCCGTTCACCTAGAGTATCATGAGTGAGACACGACTGGATAAATCTAACGTATGGAATATTTTCGTTACGGAAAAGGAAAAAAGTTGGCCTTCTTTTCGGAGGTAAAACGGGTAGAAAAGCAATGATCATGGGGAACACAAACTGCTATCTAGTAGGAATGACATAACAACAACAGAGAGAGAGAGAGAGACTTCTGTTAGTTATACTGATGGAGAAACAGAGGCAAAGAAAAACCCAGAGTGGCTTCAGGAGAATTCAGTAGAATTCAGGGATAAGAGATGGTGAGAGGTCCAACAGAGACATTCAGACTTTTTCTTCCAGAACACTGCAATGATAAAAGTTCCCTAAAAGTTTTTGTACTTCCGGCTTCTTTGTGTTACAAGCTACCGTTTTTATGGCACTGGGAATGTTCCTCCTAAAAGTATATTTCGGATCACATTTCATGTCTACACTAGAAGCTTCCATAGCTTCCCACAGCCTGTAGAATCAATTCTGGAGCACATCACCAAACGCCAGCATGGTTCCAACCAATACTTTTACCATAACTAAGGCCACGTCCATGCTGCGCAGTGTTTTCTTCCCTTCCCTAAGCCAGATTATTACCAGTTCTTAGGCTAAGCCTGGACTTTCTCCCCTCTGGGTTTCTCTTTCTTCACCGCATCATTCTTCTTCAGCTAGTAAAATCTTACTCTCCAGGTTTCCATTCCTAAAGGAAATTTCTGCTCTCATTTTCATGAGTTAATCTTTCCCTTCTCTGGTTTTCATAGAGGCAATCTTTTAAAAAGAGATCATCTTTAGTATAGTAAAAGAAGTCTGAGCTGCTGTTTGTCATTTGATTGTAGCTAATGCCAAGGATTTTAGTGCTCATTTAACAGACCTATGCCCATCATGAAATAGACAAAATATGAATTCCTTTAAAATACCTTGGAATTTTGTCAACAGTGGTTATTACGAAAACCCTAAAAAAAGGCAATAAATAAAAATTTGTAAATTAAAAAAAAAAGAGATCATCTTTTCCTTGTCACTTTGTTCTCGTAAGTGGCTGTTTACTTCTCTTTTACCCTCTGAGTGCCCTTTCAGGGTTGAAACTATTTTTTATTTATTATCAGTCTTACTTTTTGACATATTGTTGGAAGGCAACTAATACGCATTTTTTTAAAGCTGATTTATTTATTTTGAGATAGAGAGAGTGAGCAGGGGAGGGGCAGAGAGAGAAAGAGAGACAGAGAATCCTAAGCAGGCTCTGCACTCTTAGTGCAGAGCCTGACATTTGGCTCAAATTCACGAACTGTGAGATCATGACCTGAGCCGAAATCAAGAATAGGACGCTTAACTGACTGAGCTACCCAGGTGTCCTGAAGTCAACTAGTATTTGTTGAATTAATAATTTACTTTTTGGCAGCCAGAATGACAGGAAATTAGAATAGGTAATAGGAGATAACATGTACTTTTCCTTCCTAATTTAGATAAAATAAGTGTTGCTTTTGTGGCATTAATTCTAGTAGAATTTGGAGAAGCAGTTTCTAGTTTTAACCAGGCTAGCAACAACATTCGTAATCTAGTGGAGGTCTGTGGGCTTCTTTGTTTTTCAGTAAAGAAGATACAAATGGTTTCCTGGTTTCCTTCTAGCAAATACTTTATGGTTCTAGAAACAATTTGGCTACTTTTAAAAGAGAGGAGGGTAGGGGTGCCTGCGGGTAGGGGTGCCTGCGTGGCTCAGTTGGTTAAGCGTCTTGACTTCGGCTCAGGTTACGATCTCACGGTTTGTGAGTTCGAGCCCCGTGTTGGGCTCTGTGCTGACGGCGTGGAGCCTGGAGCCTGCTTTGGATTCTGTGTCTCCCTCTCTCTCTGCCGCTCTCCCCCTGCTCTCTCTCAAAAATAAATAAACATTAAAAAGAGAGAGAGAGAGAGAGAGAGAGACAAGGATAGAAATTAGGAAGAGAAAAACATGCAGAGTTTGAAAAGGATCATGCATAAGAAACACAAAATATTTTGGATTATGACATTAATTTATCATTCTACTGAGGGCAAACTTTAAGTACTGGCTCAGAATTGTACACAAAAAATATACTTACCATAAAGAAGGAAAAAGACCAAATGCCACTATTTTTCCTCCCCTTGCGAAAAATGAACGAAATCACGTATGTCAAGAAGATAAGTGAGAAGGCATAGCCAATAGAACAGGGGATCTGAAATCAACAGGAATGTGACGTTCAGTCAAAGGCAAATGCCATCCGAGAAACCCATCAGGAGCCAAAAGACTGCTGTGGCACAGAGTTTTACAGCGATTTAATTTATGACAATACAAATATCATTTGCATCTTCAATTTTTTTCATGAAATCATTCAACGGTATTTGTTCTATGAATATCGTCACTTACTTGTATAGTCTGATTTACAGTTACAAACGCAGACTCTTCGAAGTTTAAGCCGTAGTCTAATAAATACATAAGCAGTAAGATCAGGGAGTACATCGGGACATCCACCAGCGCCTGCCCAAGCCAGTAAGCAGAAGGGAAGAGGCCTGAAATCCGGAGCTGGGACTGAGCTTTGTTCTGATTACAAAACAGCAAAGACACAAAGTGTTAGTTCAGTTGGAGCTTTCAGAAAACGTGGATTATGTAAGAAAACATTTGATCAGAATTTTCCTTTGTAATAATTCTGCATCATGGCCAGAAGCATTATGGGGACCAAGGGATACGGATAGTTCCAAACACAGATGGTCAATTTGTTGCTTTCATGAACAATATTGATGTTCGTCACGCACCCAATGGAAATACGTGTAAGAAGGTCTCAGTGTCATTAAGGTATTAACACTGCAGTAAACAAAACTGATTAACAATCTATGGGAACAGGGTGGTTTATTTAAGCAGCTAGCCTTCCATCAGGGTGATTCTGCTTTGACTCACTGTGAAGTCTTGTGCTGTCTCTCTCTACACAGGTCTATATACATATAAAGATTATACGTAAAATACTATGTTTTATTTACAATTATACATAAATACACAACACGATATGTACCTTATATACATATGAAATGGCTTTATTCCTTTCATTCTAACTAAAGGATACATTAGGGTAGTTTTGGCATAGCACACATTCAAATATTTATTACCCATCCAACTATTTATGCACACGTACATGAATATTATTACGTTCGTAAATACTACGTGTCTTGCATTCCTGCCCGTCTCTGAATAAGCATACTAAATTACATATTTTTTTTTTTTTTTAATTTTTTTTTTCAACGTTTATTTATTTTTTGGGACAGAGAGAGACAGAGCATGAACAGGGGAGGGGAAGAGAGAGAGGGAGACACAGAATCTGAAACAGGCTCCAGGCTCTGAGCCATCAGCCCAGAGCCCGACGCGGGGCTCGAACTCACGGACCGCGAGATCGTGACCTGGCTGAAGTCGGACGCTTAACCGACTGCGCCACCCAGGCGCCCCTAAATTACATATTTTAAAACGACTTATCAAGTGATGAGGGGTTGGGCACCAATGAAGCAATCACAATAAACCGTTAAGCAATTTTGAATACGTTTCTTCTCTTTCAAAAATAGTTCATTTGCTGATGGTCTCTGGTTGGCTAAAATAGGCCCCTGTCAGAGATGGAATTTGACCTAAGGATGCGGGTCAAAATCTCTGAGCACCGGCCCAGTCAGCTGGCACGACTGAAAAGGATTTGGCGATGGACGGATCTGTGGTGAAGCCCGGAGAGGGGTGAATGGTGGTTTTAGGTTTACTGACCGAGTGAGTGCCCAGCACTGCCAGCTCTGGAGGGCAGGAAATGCGGAAACGGGGTACCCGTTCAACAAGATCATAAATTCAGCTTTGGAGATGTGGCTAAGTTGGAGAATCTGTGATTCTCCCAGTGGCAACCCCGGAGGAGGGAGTTTGGATCCGCACTGGAGGTAACATGAGAAATTAGAGATCTCGGGGCGCCTGGGTGACTCCGTCAGTTAAGCGTCTGACTCTTGATTTCGGCTCCGGTCATGATCCTACGGCGGTGGGACTGGCCCTGCGCTGGGCTCTGTGCTGATAGCACTGGGCCTGCTTGGGATTCTCTCTCTTCTTTCTGTCCCCTTCCCCCACCCCCGCACAGGCACACTCTTTCTCTCTCTCTCTCTCAAAATAAGATAAAAAAAAAAAAAAAGAAGAAGAAGAAAGAAATTAGAGATCAAGTCTGTTGAGTGATGGGTAGGTCAAAGGGGTTTGAAGCCATAAGGTTAGATGAGTTTGCCTAGGACAGAATGACATCAAGAATGATGAGAGAGCCTAGGACTGAGATGTAAGGAGCTCAGATTTTAGAGACAATGGAGAAGAATAGAGGAGTTCCAAAGGAGACAGACAGTGGCCAAAGGGTTGGGAGGAACATGGTGGGATTGAGGCGTTTCACAGACCAGAGAAAGAAAATGTCCGCATTTCCTACGGGAGGCATTTTTTTTTTTAAAGTTTATTTATTTATTTTGAGAGGGAGAGAGAGAGAGAGAGTGAATCCCAAGCAGGCTCTGTTCAGGGCAGAGCCCGATGTGGGGCTCCATCCCACGAAACGGGAGATCAGGACCTGAGCCGATACCAAGAGTCTAAGGCTTAACTGACTGAGCCACCCAGGTGCCCCTGGGAGTCATTTTAAGTTAGGACAATGTTAAGTACAAGATGCCTGACAGTTACCTCAGGCCAGCAAATGGTGTTTCCCAAGATTCCCCGGAGGTTCTACACTAGGAAGAGAACAGGACAGCCAGCGCTCTCTTCCCTTGGACAACAGAATCACTTTGGAGAGGAACAGATCAAGATCCTTATGCAGGGTCACTCTGTGCAGTCAAGTTACAAAAATGGAGACACTAAAAGACATTCTATTGAGATTTGCAAGTAAAGCTAACGCGAGTTGGCCTGGGTTGATGAGTCATATGAATCCATCCCCCCATGACTGCCACTCAAAATCTGTCTCTACTCCAGAACTACTGAGTCAGTCTTCATCTTAAAAGATGCTCCAAATATCTTGGGGCGCCTGGGTGGCACAGTCGGTTAAGCGTCCGACTTCAGCCAGGTCACGATCTTGCAGTCCGTGAATTCGAGCCCCGCGTCAGGCTCTGGGCTGATGGCTCGGAGCCTGGAGCCTGTTTCCGATTCTGTGTCTCCCTCTCTCTCTGCCCCTCCCCCGTTCATGCTTTGTCTCTCTCTGTCCCAAAAATAAATAAAAAACGTTGAAAAAAAATTAAAAAAAAAACCCAACAAATATCTGTAGATACATCAAAAATTCATGGCAATTAACAAAACAGTGTCTATGAATGGAAATGTATAGTCAGTTAAACATTAAATTTTTTTTGTTTTCACGTTTGCAACATACCATGTTCCTTTATTTCAATTCTCTCTCTCTAACTTTTTTGAAATGTGATTTTGAAACCATAAAAAATGTCTCTATGAAGTATTCAGTTGCGTGGGGTTTGACGCATGTATGGATTCCTGTATCACAATCATAATCAGAGTATAGAGCATTTACATTACCCCCCCCCCCCCATTTCCCATGCTCCTTTGCAGTTAATAGCCTTTATCAGGGGTTACAAGAAACCACAGGTCTCCTTTCTGTCACTGCGAATTTATTTTACCTTTCCGAGAATTTCATATAAATGAAATCATTCAGTATTTACTCTTTCCTGTCTTCATTGCCTCAGTGTAATGGTTGTGACCCGTATGCATGCTGATGCATTTATCAGATGTTCCTTCTTTTGTACTGCTCAGTAACATCCCCTGGTCTGGCCACCCAAGGATTTCTATCAATTCACAGCTTGATGGAAATCTGGGCTGTTTCAGAGAGTGGGCTATCATGAATAAAGCTGCCAAGAACGTGAATGTACCCGTCTGTATGTGGAAAGAGGTTTTCTTTTCTCCCAGGTAAATACTTAGGAGAGACGTTCCGGGCCACACCATTAAGTGTATTTTTCACTTTGTACGACAGCGCCGAATGGCTTAGCAAAGTGACTGTGCATTTTATGTTCCTGCCGATGACGCATTACAGTTCCAGTTTCTCCACATCCTCCCAAACGTGGTATTTTCGGTCATGTTCATTTACTCATTTTCGTTCGTGTGTAGAGCTATCTCATGGGGGCTCTTTTCCTGATTCCCCATGATATTAGCCATCTTTTCATGGGAGCACTTTCCTTCCACATATCTTCAGTGAAGTATTTGTTCAAATATTTTGCCCATCTTTAAAATTTAGGCTATCTTTTACTACTGAGCTGTAAGAGTTCTTTCTCTTCTTAGTACAAAATTTTTTTTTTTTTAATATGGAATGCTTCACAAATTTTTGTCTTTTCCTTGTGCAGGGACCATGCAACCCTCCAATTTTCGTTTATGTGCGATACAAATCTTTTGTTAGATGTACGAGTCTTGTGGATATTTTTTCTTCCCAGCCCGAGGCTTTTTATTTTCTCATTGGTGCTTTACAAAGAGCAAAAGGTTTTAACTTTGACGAATTTCAAGTTCTCATTTTCCTTTACGGTATATATGCTCATTCTGCCCCATCTAAGCAAGAAATAATTGCTTACCACAAAACCTACGATTCATTTCAAATAAAATCTGTGTATGGTGGGGGGTGAGTGTTGAGAACACTATTTTTTTTCCTCATACCAGTATCAAGTCGTTCTGGTACAATTTGCTGAATTCTCTGGCAGATTTTACTGAAAATCAACTGATAATCTCTGAAATGTCTATTTTGTTTCCTACGCCTATATGACTATCCTAAATAAATACAACACATTCTTCACTCCTATAACTTTGTAGTAAGCCTTGAGGGCAGAAACACAACCCTTCCAACTTTGTTTTTTCTTTTTCTTTTTCTTTTTTTTTTTTTTCAACGTTTATTTATTTTTGGGACAGAGAGAGACAGAGCATGAACGGGGGAGGGGCAGAGAGAGAGGGAGACACAGAATCGGAAACAGGCTCCAGGCTCCGAGCCATCAGCCCAGAGCCTGACGCGGGGCTCGAACTCCCGGACCGCGAGATCGTGACCTGGCTGAAGTCGGACGCTTAACCGACTGCGCCACCCAGGCGCCCCTGTTTTTTCTTTTTCAAATTTATTTGGTCTATTCTAGGTGCTGCACATCCATGCAACTTTTAGAATCTTCTCTATCTGTAACCTCTTTATTTATCTCTGCATTTATAAAGACATCAAAAAAAATTTTTGTATCTTAGGATTTATTGCTGAATTGGCTGCTCTATGAAGCATGTATAAATGGACGGGAGGGTGGTACCTGGGTAGCTCAGTCGGTGAAGCATCCGACTTCAGCTCACGTCACGAACTCACGGTTCATGAGTTCAAGCCCTACATCGGGCTCTCCGCTGTCAGCATGGAGCCCGTTTTGGATCCTCTGTCTCCCTCTCTCTCTGCCCCTCCCCTGCTCGTATGCTCTCTCTCTCTCAAAAATAAATAAGCATTTAAGAAATGTATAAATAGCCTTGTGAAAAGGCTTGTATAAAAGCCTTGTGGAAGGACTTTCACCTTCACCTTCTAGTTATACAAAGTAATGAAGTTTTCATTATTACCTTATAATCATCGAAGCTGCTCATTGCAATATAAGGAGTACAAGAGGATGCCAAAATCGCCCATAATATGGTATGTTCCCAAAATACAAACGGATTTCTCTCTGACTCCTGAAAATGCAAATATAACAAGCTGAGTAACAAATTCAAAATTTGCTTTCTGGAACACATTAAAAAAAAACATTAAACTGATGACATATACTCCCTCCTTAGGTCCCCACTGAGGTTCCCAAACTCTTTCATTTTCCATCCAATTATGCAGCATGACTCTTGGCTCTATACCCAATTACAGGGATAAGGAAAGTGACTCCAAGCATGAGACTGAACTGGTAAGTATTACACCGCTGGGAAACAAAAGAGGGGTGAGATTTTACATTTTCTTATTTTAGGATTCTAAAATGTATTCTGATGTGAAAACAGTAAATAATGACAAGTCACAGTTGGAACATTTCATTTTTCACGGGTATTTAATTACGTCAAATGCGACAGACTGACTCAAACATCCTCTCGGATGTTCTGCGGGCACAGTGATGGTAAGTGTCGTTCTAGGTACACCGTGAGACCAGAAAAATATTGGTTGAGGCTTCCAAAGTAGAGATGAAGTACAGTACTAGAAAGGGAAGTGGAATCTCCATGAAAAACCTTGGCACTTTCTCACACACAATGTCGCTCCTGTTTGGAAGAGTCTTTAGCGACAGAAGATGCACTGACTGCCCTGAAAACAGTTCCCACGTTACTTTCGTGATCCACAAAGGTGTTTAGTTACACGCATTGCTGAGAAAAGTTATAACCAGGGGTGTCTGGGTGGCTCGGTTGGGCGGCCAACTTCGGCTCAGGTCATGATCTCATGGTCCATGAGTCTGTGAGTTCAAGCCCCGCACAGGGCTCTGTGCTGACAGCTTGGAGCCTGGAGCTTGCTTCGAGTTCTGTGTCTCCCTCTCTCTCTGCCCTTCCCATGCTCACGCGCTCTCTCTCTCTCTCTCTCTCTCTCAGAAATAAACGTTAAAAAAAAAAATTTTTTTTTTAAAGTTATAACCAGAGTCTGGTTATCTTCAGCTTGGCCATCAGAGACACCCTTTCTCACGACAGAAAGGTGAGATTTAAGATTATCGACAGAATCTTTTAAAGAACACCTTGCATGCGGGGTGGGTTCAGTACTCAGTGGTAAATCCTTGACTTGAGCAGGACAGAAGCAAGGTTTGAAACTCCCAAAAACTCTTACCTGAGCAACGAACAGGTAAATCCAAATAGAGTATAACCTGAGTTGCTGGAGATATTAAAGTTCAGATGTTGAGCACATGAAACAAGGTCAAGTAAGGTAGTTAGTTGGTATCGAACTCATCAGAGCTAAAATGGAATGTTTCTATTGATGGAAATTTGCTCAACTATGGTATCTTCCCTCAGAAACCAGAAAATGGATAGGAGGTTAATTAAATGAACCATAGCATAGTCTAAAATTAGTACTTGATGAATGACTAAAACTTTTTGCTTTAGTGATTAAGCTTCTTACACACCCTTACTGAAAGGAATTTTTATTTGCTGAATGTACCATGAGGTATGTTGTGAGAAGTCAACTCAAAATCTTACAGGAGTGTGTGGAAATGATGGATACAAGGTCCATTTATATACACATGGGTAAGTGGTCTTTAGCCATATATATATTATTCTAAAACCCTAGATTTGAGGGGCGCCTGGGTGGCGCAGTCGGTTGGGCGTCCGACTTCAGCCAGGTCACGATCTCGCGGTCTGTGAGTTCGAGCCCCGCGTCGGGCTCTGGGCTGATGGCTCAGAGCCTGGAGCCTGTTTCCGATTCTGTGTCTCCCTCTCTCTCTGCCCCTCCCCCGTTCATGCTCTGTCTCTCTCTGTCCCAAAAATGAATAAACGTTGAAAAAAAAAAAAAAAACAACCCTAGATTTGAATGGAATATAGATAATTTGCTGACCTCTGACATTCATTTATACATTTAACAAATAAGTTACTTGGTGCTTATCATGTTCTCAGCCTTATCTCAAGGTATAAAATATTCTGTAGGGTTAAACATACATTGTCTCTGGGTTCAAAGAACTCTCTAAGTGGAAGCAATATATTTAGGAAATCATCAAAAAGGAACAATGACAAACTCTAACATGTATTCTGGTTTCCAAACTTACAAGGCTGTGTACACAATCCAATCACATGGGACTTTTTTTTTAGAAATAGGGATTTTTTTTTTTCTTTTGCCCCAGGTATGAAAAAGCTGGCAGGCCCAAATAATGAATATTTATTACAAGGAACTGGAATAATTCTAGTGTAACCAGCCTGCAATGTTGGTCTGAACCTTGTCCTAAATATTTTTCCTCTGTAGTATTTCTAAAAGTAATAATAAGACTTCAATTTCTTCCTTTCCTTTCCCTCCCCTCCCCTTCCCTTCTCTTTCCTTTTCTTCTTTGTCTCTCTCCCTCCTTCCTACTTTTGTTATTTTTGCGTTAGTCTCAGTGCTTCCTGACTTCACTTTCATTACCTCACATTCCCTTTGAAAAAGAGTTCTGTTTTGCATTTAAAAAATTAAAGCTCTGGGCACCTGGGTGGCTCAGTCCCTTAAGCATCCGACGTTGGATCAGGTCATGATTTTGCAGTTCATGAGTTCGAGCCCCGTGTTGGGCTCTGAGCTGTCAGAGCCCGGGGCCTGTTTCAGATTCTGCGTCTCCCTCTCTCTCTGCACCTCCCCATGTTCATTCTCTGTCTCTGTCTGTCTCTCAAAAATAAATAAAACATTAAAAAAACGTTAAAAAAAATAAAGCTCCAGGGGCCCCTGGGTGGCTCAGTTGGTAGAGTGTGTGACTCTTGGGGTTGCGAATTTGAGCCCCGTGCTGGGTATAGAGATTACTGAAAACATTGAAGCTCTAAAAAGTGTACTGATTTCTTAAAACCAGAGAGCTAGCATGAACCAAGTCATGATTTATTATGCAGCCATTTACTCAATAAGAACGAGATTGCAGCACTTAAAAGAGTGACCTGGGACATTCTTGGTGCAGGAGAGACCAGATTCCTGATGGAGGAGAGTCAGTATACTTACCCTTGAAAATGTACTTCTATCAGTTTGGATGTGTGCTGATGGCTTAACCATTCCAAGTAGTGCATTACTAATAATATCCATGAGAACTGGGAAGCAATTTAGTCTTTTGGTATTGCATACTAATGAAAATCTGTAACACTAAAATATAAAAAGCAAAATTATAAATTCTCAAAGGTCTTTTTTGTTTGTTTGTTTGCTAAAGAGGTCAAAATTCAATATCTAAAATTTTAAAAATCCTGTTTTTAAAATGGTGCCAAATAGGGGCGCCTGGGTGGCTCAGTCGGTGAAGCGTCCGACTTCGGCTCAGGTTATGTATGATCTTGTGGTTTGTGAGTTCAAGCCCCACGTCGGGCTCTGTGCTGACAGCTCAGAGCCTGGAGCCTGTTTCCGATTCTGTGTCTCCCTCTCTCTCTGCCCCTCCCTCACTTGTGCTCTATCTCTCTCTATCAAAAATAAATAAATGTAAAAAAAAAATTTTTTTTAAATGGTGTCAAATAAAGCAAAACACAAACACTGTGTAAGTAAAACAGAACAAGTATATAGACTGAATCTAATTTTCAGGACACCAGACATCTGGGGGAAGGCTAGCATCAAGTATTATTGTTTAAGAATAAAACAGAAGTTTCAGAAAATATGTATTCTAAAATCCTTGAGAGGAAATCTGAGTTCTTTGGACTTAAATATGCACTTGACAGGGGGTATTATACAGTGTTTATTTTGCTAATACACACAGCTTGTGTTGGTAGACAATGATTAAAATATGAATTATTCATCATATTAATGACTACAATTCACTGAGTAATGAATGCAAGCATTCTTTGTTTTTCATTTCATTTCCTGAAGTGGAAAGCTGAGTACATCGATATCGTATTGGTTTTCCACATCTTGGGGAAGAATTATGAAACAGAGACCAACATACCTTTTCATTACCAGACACTATGATGGCTCCATTATAAGATGGGTCATCTAGGGCATTTTTAGTTCCAAATGCATCCACTTCCAAAGCTATGTTTTGATGCTCCACAGAATGTATAAAGTCATCAATGCTTGCCCCTGTGTTGCAGTTAAATATATCAGGTGTGTCATAAAACTAAGAAAATCAATGTCAAGTTGTACAATAAAATTTTAATTAATGTCATTATGTGATCCTTACCATCATATGGACTGTCAGGATAGCTTTCCACGTAAGAACATACTTGTTACTGTGAATTAAAAATCTATTCACTTGTGATGGAGTTTAGTTCATAATGTATTTATTTGCTTCTGATTACTGCTAATGTGAAAGGTGAAAGTCTTTTTTTGAGCACCATATGGCATTTGGAATGATGTTTTTATCTAGAATATTGCAATCAGTGGCCATAAACATTAAGGGTTTAATGACACGGATAATCGCTACTAATCAACTACGAAAATCGCTAAATCTCACTTTACTACTGCTAGATTATTAATTGACTTTCAAAATGTGTCTCGATAACAGCTGTTTGAATGAGGGTAGGAGGAGCTTCATGGACCTTCTCCCAGAAAAGCAACCATAACTTGTAAAAATTACTAAAAATCCAACAAGTTAAAAATCTCTTGATTGTCTTAATGGCACACAGAAAGTGCAAAAAAAAATTTAAGAAAATCTAGTAAGTTTGGGTAAGAACACTAAAAAACTGGCATTTGAGCTAAAAATCCATACTGTTAGTCCCTATCCTCAATTAGCTTGATAGAAGCTTCACTCTGGAGATAGCCAAGAACTCAAGAATCCTTCATCAAGCCACGTCTAGGGCTACAGTATCTTCTTGGGAAGAACTGGGATAAGGATGATTTGGCCTTGTTTATTTTTGGCCTCACGTGCCTATGATAGAGCTTTCATCTCATAAGTAGGGAGTGGATGGACCGGGACTCCAGTCCTCTCACTACCTGGGGGGATGGAGTTTATGCAACATGGGACTGAAAGGAATAAGAAAGGTTGGTGGCCACTCAGTCCCCTGAAGAGAACTGAATAGCCATTGAAGTTGTGTCCCTTCCTCACACCATACACAAAAATTACTCAAACTGGATCACAGACCTACATGGAAGAACTAAGAGTAAAGACACCTTAGAAGAAAATATAGAAGTAAATCCTTGTGATTTTGGGTTACGTAAAGCTTACCTAGGTATGAGACCAAAAGCACAAGCCAGAGAAAAAAATAAGTTGGACCTTGTAAGAATTAAAACATTATAGAGTGTCTGGGTGGCTCAGTTGGTTGAGCATCCAACTTTTGATTTTGGCTCAGGTCACGATCTCAATGGTTGGTGAGTTCAAGGCCCACAATGGGCTCTACGCTGACAGTACAAAGTCTGCTTGGGATTCTCTCTCTCCCTCTCTCTGCCCCTCCACCACTCACACTGCCTTTGTCTCAGAAAAAAAAAAAGAACTTAAAAAAATTAAAACATTATGCTTCAAAGGACACTAATGAGAAAATGAAAAGGCAATCTACAGGACGAAGCAAAATATTTACAGAAAACTTGCAACTGATTCTTATTATTCATGGTACATATATTCTATAAAGTCACCACAAACACTGAATTAGTGAATTCTTTAATTTTTTTTAACTTTTTTTATGTTTATTCATTTTTGAAAGACAGAGAGAGACAGAGCACAAGCAGAGGTGGGGCAGAGAGAAAGGGGGACACAGAATCTGAAGCAGGCTCCGGGCTCTGAGCTGTCAGCAACAGAGCCCGATGCGGGGCTCGAACTCATGAACCGCGAGATCATGACCTGAGCCGAAGTCGGACACTCAGACGACTGAGCCACCCAGGTGCCCCAAGTGAATTCTTAATTATGGCTTAGGTTCCTGTGAGCCTCTGGTTGCAACAATTTCTTTGACCAATCAAGAGATTGCCATATCTTATATATGTTTTGGTATATATATTGTTGACTTGTAACAGTGATCTCAAAGCCAACGACACTAATGTATACCTGAACGAAGCTTATTTAACACACATATTTCCTCTGGAAGGTATCTCATGGCCTTCTTGACTCAGGGACACTGGAAAGCACTTGTGCACTCTACTTGGGTGGAAAACGTAGCATTCAATAGACTACAGAAAGGATATTTAGTTACAGTATGAGAGCTGAACAAGGAAAGAGAGTATCATCTCAGCTGGAAAGTATGTATCAGGTGACTCAAACTGTCCACTGATCTGAGCATGTGTGTGAATGATTACAAAAGAGCCATGAGTATTGGTTTTGGGGTCACAAATAAGTTTTACTGACTAGAGAAGTCTGCAAGTACATAACCTGTGAATGATGAGGATCTACTGCATGCGATAAGAGACTTGTATCTAGAATATGTAAAGAACACTTGGGATTCAATAAAAAGGACATATGATTCATTGTTTAAATAGGAAGAAAAAAGGCACTTCTGCAAAGACAGATATACAACTGGCCAGTAAGCACTTGGGCAGATGCCTAAGGTCAGTAGCTATTAGCAAAATGCAAATCAAACTACAAGATACTACTTGATTCATACGAAGATGAGTATGACAAAAAAAAAAAAAAAAGTCAGGAAATAACAAGTTTGGGTGACAATGTGTAGAAACTGGAACCCTCACAAATTGCTGGCATAAACGTAAATTGGGGCAGCCCGTTCAAAGAACTTTGGCCTTTCCTCAAAAGGTTAAATCTAGCCACCATATGACCCAACAATTCCATTTCTGGGTTTTATACCCCAAAGAAGTGAAAAAAATATGTATGTTCATACAAAAACCTGTACATGGACATTTATAGCAGCATGACTCATAATAACCAATAATTTGGAGAAACTATCCATCATCTGATGAAAAATAAAATGTAGCATATTCCCACAATGGAATTCTTCCACAATGAAAAAAATACTGAAACATGCTACAACATAGACGAACCTGGAAAACATCACGCTAAGCGAACGAAGTCGGTCATAAAAGATCATATGTTGTGTAATTCTACTTGTATTAAATGTCCAGGGTAACAGAGATCCGTAGAAACAGAAATTTTGTGGTTTCTCAGAGCTGGGGAAGAGTAAGTAACAATGAGTGCTCATGAGCATGGGATTTCTTTTTGAGATAAAAATATTCTTTAAATTTTTTTTTTAAAAAGTTTTGATATAAAAATATTCCAAAAAAATGAATTGTACTGAGAGTTACACAATTCTGTGAAATACACTGAAAACCACTGGACTGTATCCTTGGAATAAATGCAATAGCACATGAATTCTAGCTCCAGCTGTTACAAATGTGTCTTTTTTTAATGTTTATTTATTTATTCTGAGAAAGATAAAGGTTGAACAGGGGAGGGGCAGAGAGAGAGAGAGAGAGAGAGAGAGAGAGAAACAGAAACAGAAACAGAATCCCAAGCAGGCTCCGCACTGTCAGCACAGAACCCAACACAGGGCTTGAACTCATGAACTGTGACATCATGACCTGAGCTGAAATCAAGAGTTGGATGCTTAACTGACTGAGCCATCCAGGCGCCCCACAAATGTGTTTTTTTGATACAAATGCTTTCATTTTGCCCACAGCCACCAGAAAGTTTATGTCTCCCTGGCAAGTCCTTTCCTAGTTCCTTTACCTTCCTGGACTTGGCATTCACCCTCCTCAAGCCTCATAAACAGTTTTATACGGAGGAAGTCAAAAGTTTCTTTTCCTCTCTGGCATGCTTGATGTTTCTCTTAACCGTGAATGCACTTGGGAATGGAGTATTCGCCACATTATTACCTGTTTTGTTGATGATCAGTAATCCGGTGAGAGGATCACGTGGCTGTTGTCCAGGAACCAGGAAGTACAAACGAGGAGAAAGTTCCCAAGTGTAGCTCTGTTGATACACTTTCATGGTGATGATCTCCGTGAGAAGAGGGCAAACTCCAAATCCGAGAATCAAGAGCCTACCCAGGAGAAAAGTGCCAGTGTGAATGCACAGTCATTTCTTAACCTTTAAAGCTGCCTGAGCAGATTAGAACGTGATACCATCAAGAATTTCTGGAAATTCAACACAGAGCTCTCGGACTCTTTTCTTGAGTATTTTGCCCTTTGCCTACCCCTAAAATTACATTTTTTTAAAGGTTTATTCATTTTTCAGAGACAGAGAGAGACAAAGCGTGAGTGGCGGAGGGGCAGAGCGAGAGGGAGACCCAGAATCCAAAGCAGGCTCCAGGCTCTGAGCTGTCAGCACAGAGCCTGAAGTGAGGCTCGAACCCACAAACCGTGAGATGGTGACCTGAGCCAAAGTCGGACCCTTAACCGACTGAGCCACCCAGGTGCCCCTCCCTCCACCTTATTTTTATTTTTTGATGGTCTTCTCTCGCTTTTACATCTTAGATTTGTTTCCTTAATGTATCGACCGAAGAAAACCCCCATGGCACTCTGACACTCACAGTGATAAAAGAGCTTTCCTTTCATGCTTTAATTTCAAGAAGCGAACCCTTGCGATCGCACAGATTTGCTGTCTCCAAAGAGCCATTCCGCCTATGGTCTGGCTTATCTCATTAAGCGAACTGAGAACTTGCTCTGTCTCAACAAGCCTCTCTGTATCTCCAGCTCTTTCTGACGGGGCTTCTCCCCACGTGGCAATATCTGCAAAATACGAAAAAACGCAATTCATAAAACTGGGCTCCAGTTGGATGTTACGGAGCCTACTGCATGTAGGAGCTTGTGTCGTCCACACTGCTAGAGTCTTCTGCGTAACTGTGGGCGTTGTGTGGTGCTATTGGCAGCCGCCATGAGCGAGAAACATGCATGGAAGTTTGATGCCTTGAACAAAAGGAGTAGAAAGGAGATCTTAGATCATTTGGCTACAGACAACACATTCAAGAGGTCAGGGCAAATACGCGAGATCGTAGCGTGCCTAGAGGTGTCACTTGCAAGGGAAAAATAATCTCAGGTGTTCGCCTAGAGAAACAACCTACGAATTGACATGCTACAAACGGGATTAATCGTTAATTGTTAGCACTGGTGGGATTTCAAATCTGTTCGCACCACTGGAGGCTGCACTCTTGTATATGCTCTACAGTCTTTGAAGACTCAGGATGCTGTCCATTGTATGGTGTTAAAACAAGCCTGATATCCAACCTCAGAAAGCATGCACCCATAAATGTCCAACCACAGACACAAAAACACACCATTCCAGTTACTATTGAAGAAGATGTAAAGATCTTATACAAGGTAGGGGCCAACAGTATATTAAAAGAATAATTCAGGGATCTCCTGCTTCCAAGAGACTGTCACCTCTCTTACCAAGAGAATATACCAGTTATTTTTAACCCATCAGATACGAGCATAAAAGAAAGTAAAAAAAAAAAAAATTTTTTTTCCATAAAGGGAAGACTCATTCCGAGGGAGATGATACCCATGGCTCCTTTCATCCTAGGGGCATGGGAAAAGGAAAGAACCACTTTAGATATGAATAAGGAGAGGGCATTGAACAAACTCTTATGGTCACATATGGGCTGGTAGGACAGACTGGAGTCACGTGGTACTCAAGTCCCAAAATGAATTTACATCATTTACCAACCCTTTCCCATGAGAACTTCACCAAATACATGGGAACAGCACACCAAAGGCTGGAGATGGGAAGGAAAATCTGAGAAAGATCCACGCTAAAGGGCAGAGACTCTTTACTTGTGGAAGACATCGTCAAGGTACACGGGGCCTTCCTCTGTGAAGGAAATCCACCAGGGGCTGGCTACAGGACACATGAGCCGAAAGAGGTATACTGAGGTAGAATGGATCTTGGCTGGGTACAATACACTGGCATGTTGACATCTGGGTGTAGGTTGGAAAGGTGGAGAGATCTCCCAAGGCATGGTAAGCCATGGTCAAGGATGGAGAGTCAGGTTGACTCCCCAGTAGCAGAAAAGCCAAAAACCCCCAAAAACAAGTAAACAAAAAGTGATAGCAAGCTGAAAATCAGGTAGATGTCATTTCTTGTTGAGAAATTTGGGGCTGTATAACAGAGGGAGCTCTAGAATTTTGCCTGTGCTGGAATATGATCTATGTGTCAACAGCAATAACATCTAGGAAATCCACAAATGTTCGTACATCGAATGACGCATTTATAAATCACCAAGTACAGGAAAACCTTGGATTGCAAGTAACTTGTTTAGTGAGAGAAGCAAACGTTTCCAATAAATTTTAACTTGATACATGAGTGGTGCCTTGCAGTATGAATACAATGTGGTGCCAAGCGTCACATGATCACAACTGAGCCAATGGTTCCTGAAATTCGCTTTGATAGATGAGTGCTTTGGATTACAAGTACGTTTCCGAAACAAATTATGCTCACAAACCAAAGTTTTACTGTATTTCAATAATGTCTCATCAAATAGGGGATATAATTAGAGATGTAAAAATTATTTAAGATAACCAAATAGAGATTTGAATTGAAAAGTGCATGAACCTATTTTAAAAGTTCACTGAAGGGGCCCCTGGGTGGCTCAGTCGGTTAAGCGTCCGACTTCGGCTCAGGCCGTGATCTCACAGTTTGTGAGTTCGAGCCCCACGTCGGGCTCTGTGCTGACAGCTCAGAGCCTGGAGCTTGCTTCGGATTCTGTGTCTCCCTCTCTCTCTCTGACCCTCCCCCGTTCATGCTCCGTCTCTCTCTGTCTCAAAAATAAACAACCATTAAAAAAAAAAAGTTCACTGAAAAAAATAAAAGCTCCACAGATTTCTTTCGGCGGAAGAAAGAAATCAGTGAACATGACCCAAAAGTGAGATAATTTAGTTTAAAGAACAGAAAGAAAACATAATGAAAAAAAAAGTCTCAGAGAAATGGGAGACACGATCAAGCATTCTAACATGCACGACCACATATACTGGGTTAATGGGAGTTCCAGACGCAGAGTTTAGAGAAAAAGGGTCAGAAATTATAGTTGAAAAAATAATGGCTAACAACTTCCCACATTGGATGAAAAACATTCACTACACATATAAGAAACTCACTAGACTCCCAGTGGGATAAATGTGAGATCGACACCTAAAGACATCACAGTCAAGGTGTCAAAAGCCAAGGACAAAAAAAAAAAAAAAAAAAAAAAAAAAAAAGGATCTTGAAAGCAGCAGGGGGAAAAAACAAGTTATCTCCCACAAGATATTCTCTGTAAAATCTAAAGCTGGCTTCTCATCAGAAACCAGGGAGGCCGTATTCAGAATGCTTGAAGAGAGGGATTTCAAATAAACACACTTAAAATAAAATTTAATAAATTTAAAATAAATAAAATAAATGTGCTGACAGCTCAGAGGCTGGAGCCTGCTTCGGATTCTGTGTCTCCCTCTCTCTGCTCCTCCCCTGCTGATGCTGTGTCTCTCTTTCTCTCTCAAAAATAAATAAACATTGGGGCACCTGGGTGGCTCAGTCGGTTAAGCGTCCGACTTCGGCTCAGGGTATGATCTCGCGGTTTGTGAGTTCGAGCCCCGCGTCGGGCTCTGTGCTGACAGCTCGGAGCCTGGAGCCTGTTTCGGATTCTGTGTCTCCCTCTCTCTCTGCCCTTCCCCACTCACGCTCCATCTCTCTCTGTCTCTCAGAAATAAATAAATGTGAAAAAAAAATTAAAAAAAAACATTAAAAACAAAGTTTTAAAAAATAATACATGTTTTGTCTGAAATTGCTCTTGGGAAATGGGATGAAGGATGAATGAGCCTTGGATAGAAGAAAATGGGCCAGCTTTAATAATAAGGCAATATTGACAGGAAAGGTAAAATGTGACAGGAATGCAGTCTGGCTCCATTTATCCTTGTCTAGGAAAGGCCTTGATCATCACGGAACCCCACATTTCGTAATCACATCTATGTAACAGTGTTTTACGGAAATATATACTGCACTAGGTGCTGTGAATACCTTGACACGATCAGTCACGCGTTTTATTTACCTGATTCATCAGCAGCTGATTTTCCTTCTAGTTTCAGGAACACTTCGTTCAAGGTTGTCATGGAAACACCATAATTCTCGATTCCAAGGCCAGGACGCCTATCCAGATCCTCGTAAAGTGCTGAAGAACACGTACAGTAGCAAATCAAAACTATGAAAATCACAAGTGAAGACAACTTTTCATGCGACAAAGCACAAAGGTATGAAATAAAACTATACATTTTAAAAGCTAACATTTCATAGTAAGTACTTACTCTTCAAATATTGTATTTTAAAATTTATATTGTGACAGCTCATATATTAACCTCCTTTGATCAAATAATAATTTATAGTCATTTATATTTATGTTAAAATTTCATTTTAGGGGTGCCCAGGTTGGTCAGTTGAGCATCCGACTTTGGCTCAGGTCGTGACCTCGTGGTTTTTGAGTTCGAGCCCTGGCGTCAGGCTCTGTGCTGACAGCTCAGAGCCTGGATGGAGCCTGCTTCAGATCCTGTGTCTCCCTCTCTCTCTGCCCCTCCGCTGTTCATGCTCTGCCTCTCTTTCTCTCTCTCTCTCAAAACTAAATAAACATTAAAAAATTTAAAAAAAAAATTTTAAGTTTGTTTTTAACTTAATTATGGTAACTTTTAACATTTAATGAACAGGGGAACTTCGGTTTTTTTCAACTCTAATTAACTGAAGACTCTTTTCAGGGCCATTTGTGCTTTAGCCAACAAAACGGAGAGAACTAATTTTTTGAGGATTGGTACGATGGTACAGAACCTTCTTCAGTTCCAAAAAACTATATTAAAGGAAGGACACGAATAATAAATATTTTATTTTTTTTATAATTTTTTTATTTCTGCTTTTGACTGTGGAAGAAACAATTCACAAGATGTCATCAAGAACGCAGAATGGACTCAGGGCATCTTGTAGTGGGAAACTGGAGGTTGGTGCCTCCTCCAGTGATGCTCTGTCCCTGCCCCCTTTAGTTCGTTGACCAAAGCCACTTTTGCATCAGCCACTGTTCTTAATATAATGAACACTGTCTCTGCCTGTCTGGATCTGAATAATAGCAGCTAATTAAATGAAGCCTGAATTGAAACCTAATTTTAAATCCTAGCAGGATTATAGAAGTCCTGAGCCTTCCACCTATCGTTTCTCCCTGGGCAAAAGGAGAAGTTAAAAGCTTTCTGTCTTGATCAGAGTCCTATGTATGGAAGGGCAGGAAAGAGGTGAGATTCAAACTGCTAATGAGTGGTTTGTGTCATTCTTCACTTTCCCTAAAATTGGACAAACCTCCTCCAAATTGTAACGACTGTGAAAACACATTAATGGGGATTTGATTAACATCTTGCCCCATGGCTCTTAGGAACGCCTGTGCTGTCGCCATAAAATGTATATGTGAATGACTTCGTGGGGTTAATCTATGTGTCTGTTAACCACACGTATGGCCCAGTTAATTTCTTCCACCATCCAGTGTGGCCCTCCTAGAGGGCCTCTCTACTAGGGAGCAGGTTTTCTGAATGACATATAATAAATGCACTTTTTCTTTCTCTTTTAATTCAACTTGTTATGTTGAGCTCATTTTAGATTCCCAAGCAGTTGTAAAAAAAATAATACAGAGAGATCTGTACCCTTCACTCCGTGTCCCCCAAAGGTAATATCTTAAAAAGCCACAGTACAATGATCACAACCACCCTAGTGAAAATACAATCAAGATACAGCACATTTCCAGGGTGCCTGGGGGGCTCCGTTGGTTAAGTGTCCGACTCTCGGTTTTGGCTCAGGTCATGATCTCACAGTTCGCGGGTTTGAGCCTCACGTCAGGCCCTGTCTGCACTGACGGTGCAGAGCCTGCTTGGGATTCTCTCTCTCTCTCCCCCCCCCGCCCCTCCCCTGCTCGTGCTCGATATCTCTCCCTCTCAAAATAAATAGACATTTAAGAAAAAGATACAGAATATTCCCATCCCCACAAAGATCATGCTACCCATTTACAGCCGCAACCATCTCTCCTCATTCTGTCTTTCCCCAACCCTATGGCAACTATTAATCCCTCCTCCATTTTTATAATTCTGCCATTTCAAGAATGTTCTACAAACTGAGTCATAGTATGTTTTCTTTTAGGATTGGCTATTTCCACTGAGGATGGTTCTCTGAATATTCATCCAGGTTGTTGCATAGGCCAGTCAGTGGCTTGTTCCTTTTTACTGCTGAGTGGCAATGCAATGTCACGACAGTTCTAGAATTGAACCCTTTACTTGTTAAAGGGCATCTGGGTGGTTTCGGCTGCTGTCTGTTCCAGACAAAGCTGCTATAAACATTCACGTACAGGGGTTCTGTGTGCATATGTTTTCATGGCTTGACGATTTTTCTCTTATTTTTAAAACATTTTATGGTTTTACATTTTCCTTTTAAGTCCACGATTTATATTAAGCTGATTTCTACCTAAGGTAGAAGATTTAGATAAAGGTTCACGTTTATGCCTGTGGGTCCACTTGCTCCCATTTGTTGAAAAGGTTATCTTTCCTCCATTGAATTGCTTTTCCACTTCTGTCGAAAATTGGCCTGGCGTATCTCTGTGGGTCTGTTTCTGGATTCTCTATTCCGTTCTGTCTACGTGTCTATCACTCTGCCGATATCACACAAACCTGATTATTATGGTTTACGTGGTGCCATTACTCACTCTCTGGCTCAGCACAGACAAAAACCACAGCTGCCTGCTTCCAAAGAGTTGATGGCAGCCCTCCGAATCTCTGACCAGGCTGATCGCCGGTGTCCCCTTTCCTGCAGAAAGCCAGCCTGTGAAGCCCGGGAGAGATGCCCGCTTTACGTAAAGTGCAGACATCCACACAGAGTGTGAAGGAAGAGGAGACATCAGTGGGAGATGCTCCCAACAAAGAAACAAGACAAACTTCCAGAAACAGACCTTCGTAAATGAAGCTTTATGATTTACCCGACAAAGAATTCAAAATGGCGGTCCTAAAGTAAACTTTTATGTATTGGCATAAAAACCCCAAAGCTATCACAAAAATCCTGTCAAGAACGAAAAGGACCAATCACGGGGCTGTTTAACGTAATGGCTGAGCCAGACGTTTTCAACCACTTGTGTTCATTCACAGTTACGAACCCTAGAAGATTCTGCTATGCACCACAGAGGGAATGAATGACTTAAAGAGTTCCCTAAAATGCCCAGACATTGCAATGCAACTACTGAAATATAATATTTCCTACAATCGATAAAATCATCCAACCACGGTCTTATTCTTTGCATCATGTTTCAAATGCCTGAACACATTGTAAGCTCTCAATATATGCTGTAAGAATTATCATTATGATTATAAATATTATTTACACATTTCATTTCACAGTGTGCTTACCTGGAAATTTACTTGTTCTCTCCAAGGGCAATGTGTAGACAAGTTTTCCTTCACTTTCCGCTGATAATTTGGCATCGGGGATGTGCTGTTTAACCAGCGATGTTATTTTTTCCTGAACACACATTTCATTCAACTGCAAACTGGTGTTTGAAAAATAAAAAAGAAAGATATATGTTATTTGACACAGTCTTCAATAGCATGAAGAAAATGACTTCTATGCAAGAGATAGGCCATTCAAACATGAAATAAAGTGGAAAAAATATCAGATCGTATAAATGTAATAGGAGAAGGCAGAGGGAGCTAATCAGAACCACTGGTCAGGTTATTTAGAGATGATGCCCAGAGCAAGTTAATATTGACTCAAGTCCTTAAAAGGAGAACAGTGGCAGAGTAGAGACAGCAGGGACACAGCAGGACTACACAAAGTGGAAAATGGTGAAGATTTTTCAAAGGGAGTTTTATTTGGCTGAATAGGATTACCGTATTGGGAAAACAGAGGGGGATTTTGATAGGCAGGGACAAAACAGTTTCCGTAATTCAACTGGCTCTTCCATACAAATTTATTAAGTTCTTAGTATGTGACAAAAACTTCCCTAAATGCTGAGGGTACAGCAGTGAATAAAAGCGCTGCCCTGTTCTTACGGAGTTTACCGTCTGGTGGGGAGACAGGGAGAAAACAAGTAACCAAACAGAAAAATAAATGATTAGTAGTGAATGCAGTAGGAGTAAATGCTCTGAAGGAAATGGGGCACAGACAGAAATGAATTGTGGATGAATGTGGGCGTGAGTCGTTGAGATCACTAATTTTTGCTCTCTTTGCAGTGCTAACCCCAGAACTTTGACCAAGAACACAGAATCACAGAGAAGCACAGTCTACCCATTAAAAAATACCATGGGTATTTCCGTAATGTAGAAAAACAAACAAAAACGTATGAATCCAGGCTTTAAAGTATACAATAGACAAATACCAGTAGTGACTTGGCTTCTAAACTCGGTTTTGCCGTTTGAAGTGTGCTGCTTGCCCTATCTGGACAGTCTGCTCATTAGCAAAATGGAATAACGATTCCTGACGTTTAAGGCTGTCCGAAGAACTGGGTAATAGTGACGTCTGTACTTAGTAAGTCCTTTAAACAAGGCTTTTTTAGGGGCACCTTGGTGGCTCAGTCCGTTGAGCATCCAACTCTTGATTTCGGCTCAGGTCACGGTCTCGCGGTTTGTGGGTTTGAGCCCCGCACCAAGTTCTGCGCTGACGGCACGGAGCCTGCTTGGGCTTCTGTTTCTCCTCTCTGCCCCTCACCTGCCTGTATTCGCTCTATCTCAACATAAACAAATAAACTTTCTTTTTAAAAAAAAATGGCTATTTTATTTGATCAAACGCTTACATCGAAACTACGCTTACTGGTGCGTATTAAGAACAAATGAGAATCCTTTTCATTTTTAGAGGCGGTGAAACTCACTGAGAGAATGAAGCAAAAAAAAAAAAAAAAAAAACTAAATAACACCCCCCAAATCGTAACTGTTCTCCATGGTGCTGCTGCCCCCTGAAATAAAAACAATGTAATAGATACTTCTTGGTTACTTACAACAACTTGTGCTGGGCACCAGAGAGGACTGAGGGAGCAGAAAATGTACCCTCCTCGGGGAGCCTATAGCTCAGAAATGGAGGGCAGTAGGCTCGTTTCTGAAAACGGAATACGTGGTAAATGTTTTAGGCTTTGCGGCCAGTCGGTCTCTACTGCAAATCTTCAACATTGCTGCTGCAACGTGGAAGCAGGCCACGGGCAATACCTAAACACCCGGGTATGCAGGGATCCTGACCAGCGTTTTTTACTTAGAGAACACGTTCTATTTCGATGCTCTGTACGAGGCGCGATGTCATTTGCTCTTCTCTGACCTTTACTTGCAACTGGGAATTGTTATGCCCACTTTGTAAGCGAGGAAACCGAGTTGCAGAGAGCTTAATTCATTTCCAAGAAGCAACTCAAACAATGTGCCTGGGGAAATGAAACACCGGGACAATACACGGAGCTGGAAGATTAGCAAAAACTACACGAGACAGCATTCAAATAACGCCATAGGACGAAAACAGGCGGGAATCGACCCAAGAAAACTGCCAGCCTCTGGAAATAACCTCGGACAAGGGGAAATGTAGGTCACGAGAGGGTGTGCAATGAACAATGTGTATTTCTTTCTTTTTTTTCTTGAGAGACAGGGAGAGAACAGGAGCGGGGGAGGGGCAGAGGGAGGCAGAGAGAAAATCTTAAGCAGGCTCCATCCACCCTCAGTGCCGTGCCGGACATGGGGCTCGATCCCACGACCGTGAGATCAGTCTGAGCCAAAATAAAGAGTCAGACACTCAACCAACTGAGCCACCCAGGCGCCCTGCATATTTAATTTTTAACTAAAGGCGAGTAATATGGACGTCACAATAGGGTGGGCCACACCAGTTTCATATGACAACAAAATGTGGATTATGATAGATAAAATGGAGCCATTAATGTTTTTTTGTTTCTTGTGTCATATGTATATATATATATATATATATATATATATATATATATACACACACACACATATATATATATATTTAAGTTACAGATGCCGTAAGTTAGAGCTATACTTTTGACAAACTGACCAATTCATGAATAAACATTAATTCATGTTATTCATTAATTCATGAATAAACATTAATTTAAAATACATATCTGGATATTAGCCTTCAAAGTTAAAAATATCCAGATTCAATTCCTGGCTCTCTCACTTACGAACCTAGGGGCATTCTACGTTTATCTGTAGAATAAAAATAGCAATAGTTTCTATCTCAAAAGACTCAAGATTTAAATACAACGATGGTACGCATCTTCTCTCTGAATGACTCCATCAACCCCAGTTGATTGAAAATAATGATAAAAATACAATGAAGAGGACGGAGAGAAGAGCAAGCACATGAACAGCACCGCTGAGAGATCAAGTAGAAGCAAGGAGCCTACTCAAGAAACGATGTCAACACGTGGGTGACGGGGGAGAACGGTGGATAATACCATGTGTCAGCCGTGAAAGTTCCTTCAATCCAAACCTTCCTTAACAGTGTGCTGTGGATGGATTTTCTATCACATTTATCTCGGCTTTTTTGTTACCTTGTATTTTCAGTCTCTAAAATCTACCGTCAACCTCTCTCCTATATACAGACCAATTCCATATATGTGTGTAAATATCTCCACATATGCACATGCAAATATCGGTGTGGGACAAATAAAGAGTTTCACCTGTGCTGTAATGTATTCATTCCATCAAACATCGTGCTTACATCATGTGCCTTTCTCAGTTTCCCAGCCTCCTCAAGTGGCTCTACCTTAAGTGATATCCAATGCCCCATTTCTTCTTGAGGAACAGAGAAGAGCCTGCACACTTCAGCTTCCCGCCGGAGAGAAACACTTTCCGATCTGAAAAGGAAGAAGCAAAGAAGAAAGTTTCGTAAGAAGTCGTCCACTCTTTCCCAAGAGGTAACCATGATTCTACTCTAGTTTAGGAGCTTCCACATTTCTTTATTGTGTGTGTTTGAAGTTTATTTATTTGTTTGTTGGTTTGTTGGTTTAGAGAGCATGGGAGTGACAGCAAGAGAGGGAGAGAATCCCAAGCAGGTTCCACGCTGTTAGAGCAGAGCCTGAAGCAGGGTTTGACCTCATGAACCGTGAGATCATGACCTGCGCTGAAATCAAGAGTCGGACGCTTAACAGACTGAGCCACCCAGGCACCCCCGCATTTTCAAATACAGCGCTTCATAAAAACTCATTGAAACAGGCACACTTTAATCTTACTTGTAGACTTTAGCCTATTGTTTTGCCATCTAACCACTCCGGGAGGTTACGTGAATACGTCTTCTAATATAGACTGTTGTTACACTATCTATTTTAATGGACCAAACCATTATTCGAATATGTCAAGTCAGTGTACCTTAACTTTGAGTAAAAGGATTAATGTATTAGAATACAGACTCTCACTTCACAATAATTGAGTTTCCTGGCAGATTATGCCCTTGTAACATCAAATGATAGAAAATTCTAGGAGACACACGGAAAAGGTTGGGAGTGAGACTCGTCGGGCCCAGTTCGTATCATCACCAGCTGTTCGGATTGCTAGGTACAACTAGATGACCAGATTATAAAATACAGCTGCTCAGGATACAAATCCATATTTCCCAAGTCTCATAAAGACCTCATGATGACACTTAAAGGAAATCGGCAGTTACCAGCCAGGATGTCAGCCTCATCCATGAACTGGGTACTAAAGAGGACCACACGGTCTGCTTTCCACTCCTTCAGGAGGTTCCACACAAGGTGCCTTGAAAAGGGATCCAGTCCCGCAGTTGGTTCGTCCAATAGGAAAACCTACCGAGGAGGGATGTATACAAAGTGTGTTTCTAGTAAAGCATGGTTCTTCCAGAAAACACGCAGAAACCACATTACTTACATAAATTTAAAAGGATACGGTAGTTAAGATTTTGTTCTTATATTTCATGTTCTATCATCAATCCCTTGGCATAGATGTCCTTTGCGAATAAAAGGTCTGAACCACTACCAAAGTTTCATTTTTGAAATTTTGAATTCATCTCCAAATTTAGTCTGACTTACTTACCTGAGGATCTCCTAAAATGGCAATCGCAAAGCTGAGTTTTCTTTTCTGTCCGCCACTTAAGTTTTGAGCAAGGACGTTCTGGATGTTTTTCATCTCCAACTCCAGCAAAACTCTTTGTATCTAACCAAATAAGAAGCTTTATGTCACAAATCAAGATTTTGTTTCTTTTCTTGTTAAATTTGAAAACGCAAGGCTGTAAGGTGTAATGGCTCAAAGCATGGAACCTGAGGCGGCTGCCTGGATTAGAATACCACTCCACTTTAACTAGCTGCATAATCTTGATCCTGAACCTCAGTTTCCACATGTATAAAATGGGGATGGTAACAGTGCTTATTTCTTAGAGTGGTTGTGAGGAATCGGCCAATTATTCTCTTTGAAGTTAAGGATACTGCTTGGCACGCTGTAAGTTACACATAAACGTTAGATGTTATCTAAGTTCGATTTCGTCGAACACTTATACGTGATTTGCACCAATATAATTTAATGAAAGCATAAAGAACTCAGTACAAATAGAGTTCACAATCTCTTTTCGACCCATACATTAATTCTGACATGTTTCTGTACCTCTTTGTCCAGTTCATGCGGCCGAATTCCTTTTATTTTAGCAAACAGCCTGAGATTTTCTTTCACGGTGAGGAAATCAAAGTGCACGTTGGATTGCGGACAAATCCCAGTGAGCTTGCTGATATTATCGAGGTCAGCCATTTCTGAAAGCTTATTATTATAAATGGTGACTGAACCTATAATAAAGGCTAAGAGTTAATATCAGAGGAATGCTTGAATTGAGATCTTTCTAGACAGACTCTTAATTATAGAGAACAAACTGATGGTTATCAGAGGGGAGGTGGGTGGGGGGGAGGGGTGAAACAGGCGATGGGGATTCAGGGGTGCAGCTGCCGTAAGGAGTACTGGGTGTTGTATGAAGTGTCGAATCACTATATCGTATACCTGAAACTCACTTTACACTGTATGTGAACTAACTGGAAATGAAACAAAAACTTAAGAAAAGAAAGATCTATCTAGATGAAAAATCACTATATATTTATCAATTACATTTTAGATACACGATTTTCTCTCCAAGGTTTATATAACGTAGGCATTATGAACTTCTGTTTTGGTCGTGTGGTATACTGGAAGAAAACAGAAAGTCCCATCTGCAGCTTTATCATCAAGATGTTATCTATTTTTCCACCCTTCACATTTAGGCTTGGCGATATAATAAACGATCTTAGGAAATGTGATCCAGGCAGAGGCTGTGAATTTGCCTCCACCCTGGGATGTATTTGCCCTCTCTTGGCTTCTGGGCTCATGGACCCCCGGCTGAAGAATCCTGACCAGACTCCTGGAAGATGAAAGTCCGTGTAAATAGGGAAGAGCAGCATTCTTAACTGAAGCCCCACATACGTGAGTGAGGCTATGCCAAAACATCCAGCAACAACTCAGTCCAGGCGGAAACACGAGCCAGTCAACCCACCGAATCGTGAGAAATGATAAAACATCTTTATATTAAGCCATTCATTTTGAGGATGCTTGTTATGCAGCAAAAGCTAACAGGTACAAGTTTGAATGCCAAAGGGTAACTTATGATCAAGACACTGATTCTCACGAAAGACTCAAATTTCATGTATGTATCAATCCAGTATCGCATACCTCTGTAGACTAACACTATGAACTAACTTCCATTTGTCCACAGTTATTTGTTTGTGTTTGTGATTAACGATCAGAAGGACTTTATAGTAAGAGCTGATATCTGTATATGTACGTCGACCTGACTTTGGGAAAAACCTCTTACCTTTGGTGGGAACTGAGAGCCCACTAAGAATGTTTAACAGTGTTGATTTCCCAGCTCCACTGTGACCAAGTATTGCAGTGATCTGGCCTTCATATATGTCTAATACCAGACCTAGATAGAAAAAAGAAAGGAAAGGGGCGCCTGGGTGGCACAGTCGGTTAAGCGTCCGACTTCAGCCAGGTCACGATCTCGCGGTCCGTGAGTTCGAGCCCCGCGTCGGGCTCTGGGATGATGGCTCAGAGCCTGGAGCCTGTTTCCGATTCTGTGTCTCCCTCTCTCTCTGCCCCTCCCCTGTTCATGCTCTGTCTCTCTCTGTCCCAAAAATAAATAAACGTTGAAAAAAGAAAGGAAAAAAGAATGGGAGAAAGGAAGGAAGGGAAAAAAGTAGGGCGACAGGAAGGAAGATAAAATTACAAACAAAACTATATTATGGAACTAATGGACCGCCTTTTTATTTCCTTGAATGGCCATGTTTTCTAAATAGGAATGCTCTAGGTTGTCACGTTCAAAATAAAAATAATAAAACACGCATTTGGAAGTTTATGGGTCTACCCTGTTCTGAAATTTTGAAATTACTTGGTTTCACAGCAGGAAACATGTCTCATACTCCTAGGTTTATTGACATGGCCTGGCAGAAAGTAGGTGGATGTGAATATTTATGGACTAAACAACAGATTAATCATTCAGTCGATCGCTATGTGATTAATGTTCCTTTGAGATACATTGCTTTTTTGTTTGCACAGCAGAAGAATATATAATCCCTGCAACAGCTTTGGAATTACAGAAGAAACGTTTGGATTTGTAGGAAAAAAAAACCCCAGGATTTCCTTACAGTACCTCAGTATTACACAATACATCTTTCAAGTACATATATTCTAACGTATCATCAATCTTTTTTCTAACTTTTATGCAAAGTAATGTGTTACAAGGGAAATTTTTTCGTGTGGCTCAAATGACTCATTACATTTTTTTTTTTTTACATTTTATTTATTTTTGAGACAGAGAGAGACAGAGCGCGAGTGAGGGAGGGGCAGAGAGAGGGAGACACAGAATCCGAAGCAGGCTCCAGGCTCTGAGCTGTCAGCACAGAGCCCGACGCAGGGCTCGAACCCATGAACCGTGAGATTGTGACCTGAGCCGAAGTCAGTTGCTTAACCGACTGAGCCACCCCGGGCGCCCCTCAAATGACTCATTTCAAATCTGAAATGCCACCAGTGATTGCCCACCACCACCACCACAACCAACAAAATTGAATTAAAAGGAAGAAATCAGAATCAACATTATAACGAAGCGTTCTTCTTTTCTTACCCTTCAAAGCCTCTATTTTACCCGATTTTCCTTTATATTCTTTGGTAACATTTCTGATTCTGGAAAAACAAAAAAAGAAAAGAAAAGATATTTCAAGGTGTGACAATTTTCTTCAGCTTGTCATTCTTGGTTTGGTTGCCGGGACTGGATGAATCTTATCTTCAGGGTACAGGAAGGTATGAGATTTCACCCTCATAAAGTCATGCTTGTGTGAGAGAGAATCGGCTAGAATACTGCTTCCCAGTCCCGGCTGCACATGAGCCTCACCTGAGCAGTTTTATACATTTACCTATGCTTGGGTCCCATTACCAGTCCTTCTGATTTCAAAGATTAGGGTATGGCCTGACATTAGTACTGAAAACAGGGATCATCTCTAAACTGCAAAGCCAAGGAAGCTAGACCGACAGGTAACATGGGCATCTGATACTGAAAGGGTCATTATGCAATACTGGCACAGGTTACGGGTATCTTTGGTTATCTTGAGTCAAGGTCTCCAGGAGTAGGTTAAGAGGCACAAGGGTGGAGGAAGGAAGACAGGCAAAGATTGTAACAGTGATGGCATGGGTTTTACAGTCTTATACAGAATTTAGTAGCTGTTGCCTTAGTCAACGTACTTGTTCCAGGTAAGTTTCAGCTTTTGCAACCTCAAACTTTTGAGTGTTTTAGGGTTGTGGTGGAGGTTGAGTAACATAGTTCATCTTGCATGCATTGTGCTTGGTTCATGGTAAACGGTCAATAAGCATAAAATGATATTGGTTAGATTATGTTGATTATGATAATAGGAAGGAACAGAATTAACATATTCTGGGTGCTATTACAGATCTGGAACGCTAGGCACTTTATCTGTTTTATTCTATTGGGTAGTAAATATATAATCCATCGACTAAATCAAATTTATGTTTCTTATTGTATCATCTACTATTCTTCAAGTGACTCAGGTTCCATTCATATTGAATTGTTTGATTAGCTTCTTCATCTCTATTTTCACTCCATTTACTATCACTCCATAGCACTTCTAGTTGGGTGAGATGCTAAAGAGATAGAAGAAATACAAAAAGACATTGAATAAAGATTAAACAAATAGAAAACAGATTAAATTAAGCAGATTAAATAAAGCCATTGCTCTGCTCCCTCCCAGCCGCTCTGCTGGAAGTTCAACCCAGCTTAAACCATAGGACAGACGTAAGGATAGAAGATAAAAATGGAACGGGCTGAAATAAAAACTGGAACAGGTTCTAGAAGCTCTGTAGGCTGAGGTCATCTGAGACCATTCACAAAGGACTGACAGGTGGGGGGTCACTGACGGATGAGTAAGATGTGAACAGTCAGGGATCTGGAGGACTCTCTTCCTATTTTTTTATTTGGAAAGAAAAGTGGCTAGCACCAAGCAAAACACACATTTGGAATGAAGACGTGCAGGACACTCTAAGGCACATCTTCCTCAATTCTCCTTGGGTCTATCTCCAGATCCTTTCTCCCTATCTCTCCCCTACTCTTTCATTCTCTTTGAAAAGGCAATACGTAGAAAAGGAAAGAAGTTAAAACAAGAAAAAAGAACAGAGAAAAACATAAGGAGTATAAAAAATGAGGTAGGGCAAAGTGTGAATAAATGAGACCGGGCAAAGAAATGAGAGAGGCTACGGATGGAGGGGAGAAACAACAGATAAAAGATAGAGAATACAGGCAGGGTTTTTGTTGAATTATCTTTGTTGGTGCAACCTAAATTCGAATTTATTAATTTTTTAAGTTTATTTACTTATTTTTTGAGAGAGAGAGCGAGCGTGCATGCACACTAGCATGAGTGTGGGGGGGGCAGAGAGAGAGGGAGCGAGAGAATCCCAAGCAGGTTCCACGCTCAGCACGGAGCCCAACGCGAGGCTTGAACTGAGGAACCGTGAGATCATGACCTGGGCCGAAATCAAGAGTCGGACGCTTAACCAACTGAGCCACCCAGGCGCCCCGTTAGTATTTAATGTAAAAGCCAACGATATAAGATAAAAAGGGTTAAAGGAATTTTTCTTTAAACGTGAACTGGGAAATGATGAAGGTAGCATGGAGGTTAGGTCGGAGCCGTCTAGAGGGCACAAAAGAGAACTGTGCTTGCTTTAGGTGCTGTTAGTGTCTTCGTCTTGGCCCTGTTCATTTGCATCCTTGTTACCTGATGGCTTCTTTGCCATGGAATTCTGGAGACACTGGCTCAAAAGAGTCATTAGATGAAGGATCAGAATGTATTTCATCTTCAAGGGCCACACAATCAGCTTTTGGTTGCCGTGACCAGAAGGAAGACTTCAGGAAAAACAAGGGGGGATATTGATGTCCATATTTATCTACACGGCCAGGAGACAATTAAATATTGGGTCAGTCATCAGTTTAAGGGAAAAAGTCACCCTAATAAAGCAGAGCAATAGGACCCCTTTGCCCATTAACCTGAACGTGTCATCAGCACAGGTAATGAACATATTTTCCTTGACACGTGTAGTTTCGTCAGGAGAAGAAAATCACAAAGATGTCTCTATTATGATAATTGTTCCCATCAGAGAAAATGAAACTGGGATTTGAAAAAGTCCAGGAGGAATTTAAGTAAATGTGAGGACTTTTTTTAATCCCCAGAAAGCCAGATATTAGAATACAAATGCGAGATATGCTAAGCATCCTGAATGCTATGTTAGGAGTCCAGTATCGTGCCCCCCACGCCCCCCACAAAGGGAGAAGAGACTCGGAAGCCACTACTGGATGCAAATATTCCAAGAGAAAACAGAACAGGATTATAGGAATTAACGAAAATAAGGGACACACTGTAAGAAAGGGCGAGAAGAGGGGCAAAACAATTCATTGAAATTTAACAGAGTGGAATTTTACAAAAAGCTACTTTGGGTTTATCCTCTATTTCATCCCCAGATAATAACTTTCCTCTGAAGCAAATTTACTATTCACGAACCTCTTTCTGGAAATTAATCCACAGTGTATTTGCATTTAATTATCACCTCTGTTTCCCTACGTGTTAGGAGACATTATGAAATACAAAAATTGTATTTCCCTAATATTCTGCAAGTGACCTCCAGTGTAATGATGATGGGCTTTCAAATTATGTGTACTTTTCATGTGTTGTCATTCATTCGTTCATTCAATATTGACCGAACACTCTCTATTCACCTGCGATTTGATACATAATTAATCGTATCTCTTTCCTTTGATTAGGAAATCTAACCAACGAAAGCACGTAGTTGTATTGGGTTCGTTCTACCACCAGATTTACTATTAAAGAATTCTGTCATTTGAGCCAGTTACTTTTCCTTTCTCTCATTCATATTTCCTATCTTTAAAAGAATTTTGAACAAAGTCACCATTTGGATTCAGGCTTACATTCAGGCTTAATGAATGATGATGCAAATAATTCTAACCATAGAACAAACGTTTTAGCCAAAATTGTAGATCCTGGCATCTACTATTCTGGACTCTTCTAAAGGGCAGAGACAGTTATTGTTATTAAGGGATTATCTAAGAGCAACAACATGATCAATTCACTGCCTCAAGATGTTTCTCTGCACCTTTGCCCTCATTCTTTCCCCTTTGTCCCTTTGTCCAAATGATTAGTCCTGGACTTTTTAAAAGAGAGAGACAGGGGCACCTGGGTGGCTCAGTCGGTTAAGTGTCCGACTTCAGCTCAGGTCACGATCTCGCGGTCCATGAGTTCGAGCCCTGCGTTGGGCTCTGGGCTGATGGCTCAGAGCCTGGAGCCTGCTTCCGATTCTGTGTCTCCCTCTGTCTGACCCTCCCCCGTTCATGCTCTGTCTCTCTCTGTCTCAAAAAATAAATAAACGTTAAAAATAAATAAATAAATAAATAAATAAAATAAAAGAGAGAGACAGCGCATGCGGGGGAGGGGCAGAGAGAGGGAGAGAGAGAATCCCAAGCAGGCCCCTCACTGTTAGTGCAGAGCCCGACACGGGGCTCGAACCCATGAAACCACGAGATCATGACCTGAGCCCAAATTAAGAGTTGGACGCTTCACTTACTGAGCCTCCCAGGCAACCCCTTTGACTTTTTAAAAACCTATTCGATGTGTTGATTTCATTAGTAACTTTCATAATTTTTGCAGCTTTATTGAAGTATGATTGACAAATAAAAATTGCATACATATACAATGTGATGTTTTGATATATGCATACATTGTGAGGTATTACCACCATCGAGCTAATTAACATATCATCACCTCACATGGTTATCATTTTTTCTGCGTGCGTGTGTGTGTGTGTGTGTGTGTGTGTGTGTCCTGAAAATACTTGAGACCTATTATCTTAGCAAATTCCAAGCATACAATACATTATTATTAACTACAGTCACCACACTGTATGTTAGGTGTCCAGAACTTAGTCATGTTGTACCTGAGAGTTTGTACCCCGTGACTATCATCTCCCATTCCTCCTACTCCCCCAGCCCTCGGTAACCATCATCTTATTCTCTGGTACCATTCTTTTGACTTCTTTAGATGTCATGTATAAATTAGATCATGCAGTGTTTGTCTTTCTGTGTCTGCTTTCTTTCACCGAGCATAATGTCCTCCATAAGGTTCATCCACGTTGCTGCAAATGGCAGAATTTCCTTCTTTCCTAAAGACTAAATAAGATTCCCTATATCTCACATTTTCTTTATCCTTTCCCCCGCTGATGGATACTTAGGTTGTTCCCATATCTTGGTTACTGTGAATAATGGCCGCAATGTACGCAGGAGTGCAGAGAGTGATTTTCTTTCCTTTGGATATGCAACCACAAGTGGGAATGCTGGATTATGTGGGGTGAAGAAAGCCTTGGCATTCGGTTTTGAACAGCAGATGCACAGGTGCAAGACACAAACCCCGCCTGTGACTGACTATAAAAGGAGGGAGAAGAAAATGAGCTAGCATTTCGACCCCAACTATTTATGATTCCCTTGTGTGCGTCAGATACTGGGGTGGGTGCTTTGCTGCCTCTGTGAATAACATAGATCATTGCTTTTATGAACTCATATTCTTTTAACTTGCAAGGTGATAAAAATAAAAATTTACGACCTACTGACTTCCCTATTGTGACACTCTGGGCAGATTTTTAAAAATATAGATGCCCTGGTCCCACCACTGGTGAACTGAATCAGAATCTCTCAGAGTTGAATTGTGCTTGGTATTTTTAAAGTTCTCAAGGTCCTTTTTACATACAGCCAGGGCTAAGAACTGCTGAGCTAAGTGAGTATCACGCCAGACCCATTTAGGAAATAGCTTTCTAAGCAAGTCTTTAAAAAGAAACAAACTATAAGCTTAAATCATAGTGGAGTTCAAAGATCAGCGATCCTATAAACAAAATTTAAGCTGTAGTTCTGACCAGTCAAGTAGCAAGAAATAACTAATTGGGCCATTGGCAATGACCTTGTTTATTTCTTTCCTGTTGATGCCCCAAATAGTTTTTCAAATATAAATAACACGTGTGTTAGGAGATTTGTTTTAGGAAACAATGTTCGTTGTGTCACTACTCACTTGGCAAAATTTTCTCAAAATAAATCGTCAGTGCCATATAGAGGAAAAGATCAAAAGCCAACATGAAATTTGTTGCTACGATCAGATTTGAATAGTCTGATGGATCAGGAAATGCATTAGAATTCAAGTCATTCTCCAAACGTAAGAGCTGAAAATGAAAAAGAAATTAATTTAAGGAACTTAGGTTGATGATAAATTTTGAACAGTTCAGTTTGGCAGAAATATAAAATAGCTACTTTTTGCCCTATCCTGGGAGTACAAAGTTGAATGAAACTGCATACGTTAAAATTCTCAAATCTTTGGAAGGCATAGGCATGTGACCAAGTATAACGAAATTTAGTAATTACTGTGATTCAACTATGTACCAAGTGAAAATGGAGCATTAGGAGGAGGAAGGGAAGTATGGGGAAAAAATGACATTTGAGCTTAACCTTAGATAAATTTTTACAAATAGGACAAAGGTATGGTCCTGCTCGAAAATTACTACATGAGAAGGAGTTCATGCTCTTGGGGAAAAAAGAAAGAAACCCACAAAAAAAAAATTGGTGTGTTTAAGGAGAACCAGTGGAAAAAGTGGGCTTGTCTATAATGTTCAAGTTAATGGGTCTTCTATAATTAATAATCCTTTCCTTAAGAATTATGTATGTAATGATCAACATTGCCATTTAATTGGAGGGACAGCAAAGTGAGTTCACGGTGAGAATCAGATAAAGACAAAGGACATTTGATGAGCAGAAACGTAATTCACTGGTCAATTCATGTATTTTCAAGAGGTTTTTAACCTTTAATTTTCTTTTACATGGTGCTTTGGACCATCAATCACTAAGCTATTCAATTACTAAGTCAAACTACAAACTGGAATAACGATTTAGACTTAGATTTGCAGCATCAGATACATATTTAATTAACAGTCAAAGGAAATGCTTTAGATTGTCTCTAATGAATTATATATTGATCTTCCATTTTTTCACTCACCAAATGGCTTATTTTGCTGAGCTCAGTGTATCCAAAGCTTTACAAGTTCACCTTTGCACTTTCCAAGTGTTGTGCACTGGGGCTTTAAATCTTACAATGCTCATCATAGAGGCGACGATAGACAACTGAATTCCAGAGGGGAAACATGCTTAGGAAATGCCATCGATAAACAATCAGACTGTTTCTCACCTGGGCCATTCCAAGCGTGAAGGCAAAGGGGCTCAGAAAACTTAAAATCCACTCCAAGGATGTAGGAAGGTGCCTGTACAATGCCGTAAATCCCAAACTCCCCCAAAAGACGGTAAGAAGGAACACGACCAGACCAGTGAGGAAAGATTTCTTTACCAAGACGCTCATGAGAAAAGCCAAAGCTATCTAAAACGAGAGAAGATCCATTTGCTTGATATTTCTCTAAGGATTATCATTAGCATAACAAAATAAAGGATTTAATACACAAAATTAGAGTTACATCTTTTTTGTCTATAATACAAAACTATTCTCTACGAATTGCACTAGAAGCTGGCATTACAAAACACTATAAATCACATATATAGATGTTCTCAGGCAAATAGCAGACAGTGATGAAAAGGGATATGGAGAAGAATTAACCTAATTGGAAAGCAACACTTGATCCTTAGGGTCAGAGTTGAATGGAAAGCAATTTAGTTCACCAACTCACCAGAGACAGTCCATAGAGGAAAAAAAGGATAAAGATCGCCACGAAGCCAGTCAGAATGACAAACTGGACAGATTTTATAACAAGTGCCAAGAAAAGTGCCATAATGAAGATGAAGACGGCATAGAGTAAACCCCAGGAGAGCCTAAGGTGGAAACAAGATTTTATTTTAGTATTTCCTGTTTCATTGAAAGGAGGACCTGGGATCGATGCTAACATTATTCATCGATTCACTCATCCTTTCGGTAGATATTTATTGAGTTTTAGGATATGTAAATACAAGGAAAATGTGTTGGGAAGAATTCTCTAGGAATTAGGAATATTCGTCTTCCTAAAATTAATTTCATAAATACACACCCATAAATACATGCACACACACATAACATTGTAGAGAAAAGGAGAAAATAGTCTTCCGGTCTGATTGATTTTGGTTCAAACATTTTTCTCTGCTATACTCATGCTCTGTGACCTCGGGCAAACTTTGTAACCCCTCATTGTTTTGTTATTGCTCTGGACAATAGGAATAATATTACAGTATTAGATCAATGAAGTCATGTCTATGCGGGACCCTGTCCTAGTACAGAGTAACCCCTCCATGCATCTCAGATCTTTTTTTTTTTTTTTTCCTTTGGTTTAGTTTATTTATTTACTTTGAGAAAGAGAGGGAGAGACAGAGTCCCAAGCAGGCTCTGCGCTGTCAGCACAGAACCCAACACGGGGCTTGAACTCATGAACTGTGAGATCATGACCTGACCCGAAATCAGGAGCTGGATGCTTAACTGACTGAGCCACCCAGGCGCCCTGAATCTCAGATCTTTTCTCCTCTCTGGGGCCTGTCTAGGGGTGAGGAGCTTTATGAATTTCCTCAGAGTTAAAAAAAATTCCTCCTATGTGTAGTGCTGTCACTTTCTCTTTTTGCGGAAGCTTTCTTCTTTCTCTGGATGTGTACACCAAAAAGTCTACATAATTGGTCTCTAACTCCATCCATTTACTGTTAGGATAGTTCACTTTCCTTTCTTCAATTCTTTTCTCATGTGGATTAATATTCTTTGAAGGATATAATGAAATAATAAAAGGCAAAGATAGCAGCAAAACCAACAAAATAATAGCCCACACATATAGCAATTACTCCATACTGGACCGTGTTTTACAAACTTAGCAAATATCGAATCACGTTATGCCCACCACAGCTCTACGCAGAAACACCATTATTTCCTTCATTTTATACACAAAGAACTTACTGAACAAAGATGTCAAGTAACTATGTTTCAAGTCCAGGCATCGGGCTCTAGAGTCATTAGATTTCACTGCTTGGCCATACTTCCCTCCAATATTAACTCAATAAAGAGTTCAATAGGGGTGCCTGGGTGGCTCGGTTAAGCATCAGACTCTTGATTTCGGCTCAGGTCATCATCTCACGGTATGGAGTTCAAGCCCGGCATCAGGCTCTCTCTCTCTCTCTCCTCCTCCCTTGCTCGCATGCTCTCTTTCTCTCAAAATAAACAAACTTACTTAAAAAAGAGTTCAATATTAATCTATAGGATTTTCTTCCAGATTCCAAATTTGTCGCCCTTCCCATATTCCGCCTGGTCTCCTAGTGTCTCTGTTATTTTACCTTCCCCTCGTGATTAACATCACGTCTATGCTTTTTCAGTCATGCTCAGGTTCTCTCTCAACACAGGGCTTTGTCCATCCTTGGAATTAACCCAGCTCCCAAGATTTTAAATTCAAACTACACAGCCCCTCTTCGCCATTGCATACAGCTGACTTATTCCCTCAAATATATCCATCATGCTAGATCTTCAGTCTCAAGAGAGCTCTAACCCTTGACTTCTTTTTTTCCCCTTTCAGTACCATCCTGGCTTGACTTCCACGGCCGCCTGGCTTAGATACCCAAATGTACCATTTCTACCTTGAGTCTCTTACCAGTAGACTCAACGGCCGTCCCTCACTATTTCTACCTCACAGCCACCTCACAAACCCAACCCTGATGTTTCTTCTTCAGTCCAAAAAGCCTCGTAATCCACAGCCTTATCCTGACAAGCATTACATCAAGGAGAATTTACCCCATTCGTAGGGAAGAGATGGAAAATCATTAAGTTTGAGTGCTGATGCTTTGAAGAAGCCCACTTTCCCCGAATCCCGACATTCACTCATTTGTGCTACACTTTACTCACCAGAATGCCGAATCTCGAAGACCCATCATCCTCATCAAGCCCTTCATCTTCTTCCTCTCCCTTGTAACGTTAATAGACGCATAATAAATGAATGAGGAAAAGGAAATGATGCAGAAGAAAATGAAGAAATCAGTGGCAACACCTCCTTGATAAACAAAAGGATGTATCTTCATATTTTTTCCAGTGACAGACATCAATTCCTCCATTACTGAATGATTTGTTGTGGTCTGAGGAAATACATCAGTAAACAAAATTTGTATTTTAATGGATAGCATGTTCGTTTCCTTTTCAGTCGTCTGTTTTCCTCTGAATACGTAACTGGTCGGTCTGGCTGTGACGCTAGCCTAACTTTTTACTCGCTTCTTCCACCACTGGCCCACTTGGAGCCTTGATTCCAGGCATTCTGAGGTTCGCACAGCTCTCCAAATTTACTGTGTGTTTTATCACCTCCCCGCCTAACACTGCCCTACAATGTGCTTGAAGTGCCTTTATGACCTTACGTACTTGGCAAATCTTACCTTAAGCTTCAGTTTTAATGTTACTTCGATTAGGAATTCTTCCATGGCATTCTAGGCTGAGAAGTTTTGCTTGTTTACTTACAGGGACTTTCTTTATATCTCCTTCTCCCATTCTACTAAGATTCTTATTAAATGCCTGGCTTCCTGACAAGGTTGAGTCCTTGGGAGAGAAAATTTCTCTTCCATGTATGTCTACTGTCCCCATGGCATATCAACTTAAATACACTTCGATCTAAAGAAACCAGTGATCAGAGCACCTGGGTGGCTCAATCAGTTGAGCATCAGGCTCCTGATTTCGGCTCAGGTCATGATCTCACAGCTTGCGGGTTCGAGTCCCTCCTTGGGCTCCATGCCGTTAGTGTGGGATTCTCTCCTGGGTTTCTCGGGATTCTCTCTGTCTCACTGTCTCTCTGCCCCTCCCCCCACTTGCACACACATACTCTGTCTCAAAAATAAATAAATAAAACTTAGGAAAAAAAAAAAGAAAAGAAAACGAAACCAGTGATCAAGCGAAAGAATAAGGCTACCCATTTCTGTATTCTTCCATGAAACTTTTGAGGCTTCTCATACCGTTAATCTGCATGGAACGTTAGTTAGCTGGGAACAATCGTACTCACTTCTATAATAGCAGCATTGATAGCAGCTTGAAGAGCCAGAAAACCTTTTTCCCAGTATTGTGAAACTTGGCAGCTAACCTCTTCAGTACTCATTTCAAAACAATGACCTTTAAGGAAAAAAGATGATGGATGGTTTCAGCTCTGATCACAGGAGACAGTGCACTTTACAATGGCTACAGATTCCAAATGTTATTTTGACTCAAAGCCTAAGAAAATATAAATTGGGGGGCGCCTGGGTGGCTCAGTCGGTTAAGTGTCTGACTTCGGCTCAGGTCATGATCTTGCAATTTTAGATTAAGTTTCCTCGGTTTATTATTTGTAAAGGACAGCTCGGGAGCCTGGATCCCACTTCGGATTCTGTATCTCCCTCCCTCTCTCTCTGTTCCTCTCCCACTCATACTCTGTCTCACTGTCTCTCTCTGTCAAAAATAAATAAAGAATAAAAAAAAAATATATATGTCAGAGCAATGTGATTCCCCAAAGAGGCAGGTAGCAGAGTACTTAGAAACATTCTGCATTAAACAGAGAATTCCCACCTAAGCTTTCCACTCACCTTCCGCGTTTCACCCACTCATCGAATCTTGCTGAGGGGCTACCCTGGGCGGGCTGCCGCCTGGATTTCAGCCTGCTCAGGCCGCATCTCTGCATATTTCAGAGTTCTCAAGCCCCTGCATCAGCTCTGTACTGACATCCCCAGAAAGCCTGAGCCTGTTTCCTTGTGATTTCTGTCTCCTCTGTCTCTCTCTGCCCTCCCCCTCAGCGCAAGGCTTCTCTAAAATCAAAACATTAAAAATTAAAAAAGAAAGAATCTTGTTGAGTTTTTCTCTTCATCATTGTATTGTCAAAACAAGAAAATCTTTAGGTTTCCAAAGATAGTAGGTCCTCATATGGATTGAGAACTCAAAGCTTGCCCTTAGTGAAGACAATAAATACACACCACACAGGCACGAATCAGAGTTTGGAGGCGCATGCTGACCCAGCCATGTTTTAAAATCGGCTGCTGTCAACACCTGAACATCTTTTCAGAAGAAAACTCTTACCAAAAAAAAAAAAAAAAAAAAGAAAAAGAAAAAAAGTTTATCGTGGGAATCCATTGAGTATGTGAAATCCATTAAAAGAGACACTATTTATGGGGCACCTGGTGGGGAAGCTTAGTCACCTCAAGGCCCCGCTTTTCTTTGGGTCAGTGATCTCACAGTTTGTGAGTTTGAGCCTTAGTTCTACCCCATGACAGCTTAGGAGCCTGGAGCCTGGGAGGTTTGATTTTGTGTGTTCTTTTTTCGCTGTTAAACTAAATAAACATTTAAAAAAAGAGACATTATTTAAAAATTTTTTTTTTTTTCAACATTTATTTATTTTTGGGACAGAGAGAGACAGAGCATGAACGGGGGAGGGGCAGAGAGAGAGGGAGATTAATAGAATAGAAAGTATAGGCTCCAGTTTTCGAGAGCCGAATAGCCCAGAGCGAGTCTGACACGCCAGCTCAACTCACGGACGCGAGATCAGGATCTGAAGCTGAAGTCGGACGCTTAACCGACTGCGCCACCCAGGCGCCCCAAAAAGAGACATTATTTAATATGAAAAATTAAAATTGAATATTGGAATTATGTGTGAGTTTCATTAAAATTTTAACCGTTTAAAAAATCATTTCAAAATAGTTCAGGCCTAAAGTGATGAACACATAGGTACCTGTGGCCAAATTTTAAAAATAAACAAATCATTACAAATACAATTGCAAACCCCAGTATATTGCCTAGGATCTCATTGCTTTTCCTAGCACCAAGTTCCTAATTGGCTCACTGCTTTCCTGAACTTTGTGTTCACGTATGCCTTTAAGCTTTTACAATGTATCTCAAAACTATACATGCAATTTAAAACTTTTGGGGCATCTGGGTGGCACAGTCGGTTAAATGTCTGACTTCTGCTCAGGTCATGATCTCATGACCCGTGAGTTCAAGCCCTGCATTGGGCTCTATGCTGGCAGCCAGAGCCTGGAGCCTGCTTCCGATTCTGGGTCTCCCCCCCTCTCTCTCTGCCCCTTCCCTACTAGCAATCTGTCTCTCTCTCTCTCTCAAAAAAATAAATATTAAAATTTTAAAAAATTATTTATATCTTGCATCTCATTACAGCGATCGTTCTGTATTTTGTTTCATTTATTCTATATTATGATTTTGAAATTTATGGCCTTATTTTTTCTTCTTATGATTGTGTTGAACCACATTGAAAGAAAATAATTCAATGTATTTATCCATTCTCTTATTGATAATTTGGTTAGGTTTTTTTTTTTCTTTTTACTATTGCAAAGAAAAAAAAGGTTACTGCTATGAAAGTCCTTATATACGTCTTCTCATAATATGTGTGTATCAGTCAGGATAGTCTACAATATGCCTAGTAACAAACAACCCTCAGATCTCAATGTCTTTTCACAGCAAAAGTTTACTTCTCAGACTATAGATTCAGCACAGATCTTTGGAAGGAGGGGTGCAAGGTCCTCTGTTTCACATCTAAGGGTCCCAAGGTGACAGGGTTTCTATCTAGCTTGCAGAAGTATGTGAGGAAAGGTTGTAGAGAACTCACATCTGCTTTTCAATACCTTGAGTCTAGGTATCTAATTATAGCCAAAAACAATTATTCTATGCCCTCAGGAAGGAGAGGAGAATAGGCTGCAAATCTTCAATAGGCATGAGATTTTCCCTAATAAAATTCCTATGATGCTGGCTTACAGGTTATACACATCTTCAAAGTAAAAATAAAATTTCTCAATTTTTGTGGAATTAAAATACTTTATAACAATTGGATTTTCTTTGTTACAGACCCTTGTCAATACTTTGTATTGTTCTATTTACTGTTCTTTGCCAATCTGGTTGAACGTGGTTTCAAAATGCATTTGCCGGGGCGCCTGGGTGGCGCAGTCGGTTAAGCGGCCGACTTAAGCCAGGTCACGATCTCGCGGTTCGTGAGTTCGAGCCCCGCGTCGGGCTCTGGGCTGATGGCTCAGAGCCTGGAGCCTGTTTCTGATTCTGTGTCTCCCTCTCTCTCTGCCCCTCCCCCGTTCATGCTCTGTCTCTCTCTGTCCCAAAAATAAATAAACATTGAAAAAAAAAATTAAAAAAAAAAAAAAAAAAAAAAAAAAAAAAAAAAAATGCATTTGCCTGAATGCTAAGGCAGGCAAACATCTGTCCATGTGCTTATTCTGGATCTGTGTTTCTCCTTCTACAAAGTTCCTATTTATATCTTTCACTTCTTTCCTATTTCTACGTTTTTTCCCCCTTATTTATCCAAAGAAAATCTTTCTATATTCTGGTTATTGACCTTTTGTTAGTTTTATTTGTTTTTTTAAAAAAATTTTTTAACGTTTTATTTATTATTGAGAGATAGACACAGAGCGTGAGCAGGGGAGGGGCAGAGAGAGAGGGAGACACAGAATCTGAAGCAGGCTCTAGGCTCCGAGCTGTCAGCACAGAGCCCGACGCAGTGCTCGAACTCAAAAACCACAAGATCATGACCTGAGCGGAAGTCAGATGCTTAACCGACGAAGCCACCCAGCCGCCCCATTGTTAGTTTTATTTGTATAAACATTTCATCACAAGTTTTGCCTTTACTTTTCACTCTCTCTCTGAGGTCTTTTGGTGAAGGAAATTCTTTAATTTTTATCTAGTTGAATTTAGCCGTCTTTTCTTTTGTAGTTGATGCATTTTTTGCTTTAAGAATTCTATTTTATCCAACAGTTATAAATATACTCTTCTATATTGACTTCTAGACAGTTTATAGTAATTTGTTTTCCATTGAGTTCTGTACTTGGAATTGACTGTTAAGTATGAGATAATTTCATTTTATTCTTTATGGAGAGAGAATTTTCCCAGCACTGATCACAATGTCTTCTCAGTCATATGTTAGTTTTCATGTTTAGGTGAGACTTTTCCAGGTTTCCTTCTGTTTCATTGGTCTTTTACTACGGCAATAGCATACTGTGTTAATTACTTATAATTTCACTCTTTTTAAAGACCATCTTGGCTTTTTTTCTTGTTCACTTCTTCACTGCATATATAGTTTCCTCAAGTTCCACATTAATATAGAAATTTTCATCTCATTTAAACCCCAGATCTTCTCACTTGTCCTCATGCAGCTAAAACCTAAATCTCTTTGTTACTGAGAGTGGCAAAATCATACAGCATTAATAATAATCAATCAGTTTGGATTTGGTGACTTCTTCATTTTGGGCCCTCAAGAATAAACTTACTCAGACACTTGAAGAGAAGTTTATTCTATTTTATCCATAAACAAATATACTTTCCTTTAAAATTAATATATTACAACTGCATATTACATATAATAGATATGTATACATATATATGCATGTGTATACATATACACGTATCTGTGCAAATATATGTATATTATATATGTACATATACATGTGTATAATACATGTATAAATATATGTACATATGTATAACCATATATAATAACCATCTAATACAGTACATTAATAAACCCCAAAACCACTATACATTTTTAAAATGTGTTGATTATCCTACTGACATCACATCACAGGCAGGGGTTTTTAAATTTGCTGTGCTAACACATGTTCCCATGTACAGCCTATAACATAATTGTAATAGAGAGCAGTGGAACTGGGCAGCTAGCTAGTTACCTGTATGGTCCCTGTGTTCCTTGATCGTTGGGATCCTGTATCCCGGCGAGAATTTCAAATGATATGAGAATGTATTAGAAAAGCTGACTTGTATTATTTCTGCAAGATAATGTGTCCTTAATTCTTGAATATCTTCTTCACTGGACAGTCCCAAGACTTCTCTATCTGCCATTACAAGAAAGGAATATATTGATTAGTAAATTACAAGAGATCAACTTTAGGAGGCCATGTTAAATTGCTTATATTAGAGCTTTCACTGGAAATAAAACAAAATCAAATATCTCCGTTGAGTAAGTCAGGAGGAGTAAAATTTGGGAACAGACACTGCTAACGTTCATCTAGACACATTCGGAAGGACTCCATGAAAATTAGTTATTTTATTTTCATTTGTAGTTCTTGAACCAATTTCAATCACGTATAATATTACTCCATTCCAATTAAACTATTCACATACGAATTAGCTTTGCAATAAATCTCCAATGGTAGTAAACACATGCATATATCTTTTTTTTAAATCACAGTTAGTCTCTGGCTTAGTCTCTGGTTTACAGCAGGTAGAAATGATTATAAAAATTCTTTTTCCTTTAATAATCCTGACAGTATGCTAAATAGACTAAAAACAAGAGTGAGAAATTTAAAAAATATGTCGACTATGTTGACATCACTAAAATAATCCCTCTTTTCTGCAGATAGTGTATTCAACGCCATACAGATGTCTCATTAAGACTGAAAAGATGAGAAGGAATACAAAGCAAGTCCTGGGTTGGATGGGAGTGTTGAAGATGAAGTCAAAAAAGAAGGCAGCATGTATTTTGATAAAATTACTTTTTTTTCCCCTGGAATCTATTCCTTAAATCCATGTGATCCTGAGCAAGTCACATAACCTTTATTACTCAATCTCCACTGTTTGTAAAATAAACATAATAATATCTATTTTTAGTAGTACAGAATATTACTAGAGTATAAAAAAGTAAAATACATAATAACAATATGATAGAATCATATTCTATTACTACAGAATAAAGTCTCTATAAAAATCTAGCACACGATAGCATTTAATGAATATTTACAATTTTAGTTACATTATTTATGACACAAAGATAACAACGCGTTCATTGTAAAGCTAAACTTGATGTAAAGACCCTGTGCACAGTAGTCATTTAATGAATATGTATTAACTGTTGCAGGGGACTTTGAACTAGGGTGTTGCTGAGAGGCACAAATTCATAGCGTTGTGACTTCCTAGGAGGACATCTGTGAACCAAGGCAAACATGTGTTGGGATAGATAAGGAGACTACACCTTAGGTGGAGAGCGATCAGGCTATGATCTTGAATCAGAAGTGGGGTCAGTGTTTGCAGGTGAGATGCACAGTGTAAACATTCCCATTTGGAAGGAAGTAAGGCAGAGGTGGTTGGTGAGGCGTGATGGGAAAACAAGTTTGGCTGTAAACCATCCACCTGTCCTGGAAGTGTGCAGCGAAGCATGGACAGGAAGGAAAAGCCCAACATAATTTGGGAACTGTGACCACAGAACCTCCAAATATAGATTACAGACAGGTGGACTTCTGGATACTCAATACAGTTAAGGAGTCAGAATCCAAGCACAAAATTAATGGTTACATAAGCTGTACTAGCATCATGGACATAAGGTGACAAAGAGAAGAGACATTTTATGGATTTCCAGGGACTGGGCAGAAAAAGATCCAAAAGTTCTCCTCACAGTAATACTCGTGGTGGAGAGTTATGGTGTTCAAAATTAACATGAAGTACCTTCCAAGGCACATTTTTATGTTCTTTTTAAAAATTGAGATATAATTCATAGAACATAAAATTCATCCTTTAAACTGTTCAACTTCATGATTTCTAGCATATTCACAAAGTTGTACAAGCTCTAATCCATTTTTAAATTATAACTCAACTCACAATTATAGGGCAATCTCCATAGATTCCCCTTGGAGGTATGCATTTATATTTGCAAAGAACTGTTTTTAGTTGCCTGACATTCAGTCCCCCTTCTAGTAAACACTCCAAAATTCATCTGGGATACTGCCACTCTCCCACTCACATACCACATGGTTTGGATGTGGTTTGCAAAGTGACGTAGGAACTCAGCCGACGGGCAATGACAATAGTATATTCTTCTATCCAATGAGATTAGTTCTTGGTGGACCGAGACCAACATTAACCCACAGTAGACCATTTTTCCAACGGGTCTAATCTCTAAAATTATTTTGAACTGTTCTGTACGCTTTTCACAGGGGTTGTTTGTGGTAGGGCTTAAATCTGGAGATTCTACAGACTAAGTCAGCTTCTGTTTGGGGGGAGCCAACCTGAGAATGAGGCCAGCACACAATACTACAGACCTAAGAATTGGAGACGTATTTCTTCCTTTGTTGTTGACACATCTCTATCCATACTCTCTTCCTTTAAGCGTCTAGCACCCCCCTTTTTTTTGAGACAAGCTGAATTGGGATTCTCTCATTCTCAACTGAAATAGTCATGAAAACCATAGCATTGTTTATCATATCTTGACTATGGTGATAATGTGGCTCAGAGAAGTTGATGACTTGCAAAACGCAATGCAAACCCAGTCACAGAAACACTTTTAGTCAAGCGTTCTTTGACTCTAAGACTAGTTCTCTTGCCTCTGCACCAGGCTGCTTCTCCTCTGATTTAAAAAAATTAGTTTTCAGGGAAGTGATCCTGACAGTAATAATACTCTTATTTTTCTTTTTTCTTTTTTCAATATACGAAATTTATCGCCAAATTGGTTTCCATACAACACCCAGTGCTCATCCCAAAAGGTGCCCTCCTCAATACCCATCACCCACCCTCCCCTCCCTCTCACCCCCCATCAACCCTCAGTTTGTTCTCAGTTTTTAAGAGTCTCTTATGCTTTGGCTCTCTCCCACTGTAACCTCTTTTTTTTATGGTTCCCCTCCCCCATGGGTTTCTGTTAAGTTTCTCAGGATCCACATATTTACTCTTATTTTTCATTGATAAGTATCTTAACACGGAAGCGTGGAAATCTGAAACACACAATGAATACTCACTCCTCCATAGAATCCTCAAATATAGTAAAGCTGTTTTTTGGTAGTAAAAAGGTGGAGAAAGAATTCCTATAATCAAACTCAAGGAAAGACTAGCTGTTTTTGTCACTCATCACAAGCAAACGCTGGAGGGAGAGCCTCATTTTAGTAATAATGCTTCCACGGCAATGTCAACGATTTCCTTAACACTCCTGCTTTTCAAAGTCTGCCAAACTCTATATTCCATGCTTCCCCAAATCCTATGCAAGATTAAGAGTTCTCTCTTGAGAGACTGTGCACTCCAATTTCACATAATCTAGAAAATCTGACAAGTAACGTGGTTTATCCACTGAAATGCAAATTAAATGCATGCATCTAAAGTCACTTGAACCAAATATTGCCATCAGAAATATTTCTCTTTGGTTGCCAGAAAACTCACCTTTCATGAAGGAGGCTAAGGCTACTTTGTCCATGATCTGCTGGGTTACGTTGGTGACCGGTGTGAATGCAATAGCAAATGTAGTATCATTGAATGAATCTACCGGTCCCAGGTCCATGGCGGGCAGTGAAGAAAAATCATGAACTTCATGATAAATAGGATATTCATACAAAAAAAGCAGTAGGAGCAATGAGCTTAGCCATTCCTACACAATCCAAGACAAAGAATAAAGAAAATTATGAGTTTGAATCAGTTATCCACAATCATTTGGGCATACAGTTTGTCTCATTCATCTTTCTGATCTCAATGTATGCCACATTAGGAACTGTTTAAAATATGTACCTTACAAATGTCAGCAGTCTAATTCCAATGAGTTATTCGTAGGAATTCAAATGTATTGATCCACAGCATCAGTCTAAAGCATGCGCTGATCATGGACGTATGAGACACAACAGTGGCGACCTATCATAAATTATTACCAGTGGGCAGGAACTACTCACACTGTATCTGATTCTGCTCAAAGCCTAGCATTACATGAGACAGTTCGAGGACACCTCTTCCTTAGCAATAATACATTGGCTACAAGGCAGGAGTCTGGTATTGGAAAACTCCATACGATTCAGGCAACCGGAGAAGCTATAACTACCTGATTTTAAAAAGACCCTGGAGTTTAACCAGGATTTTTGTTGTATGGTAGAATTATAGGGGCTAATACTAATTTTGTTCTTGGCACTAATGGCATTTCCGAGTTTTCCACTTGTTTGAAGAGAATAATGTATTTTTTTTTTTTAATTTTTTTTTTCAATGTTTATTTATTTTTGGGACAGAGAGAGACAGAGCATGAACGGGGGAGGGGCAGAGAGAGAGGGAGACACAGAATCGGAAACAGGCTCCAGGCTCCGAGCCATCAGCCCAGAGCCTGACGCGGGGCTCGAACTCACGGACCGCGAGATCGTGACCTGGCTGAAGTCGGATGCTTAACCGACTGCGCCACCCAGGCGCCCCAATAATGTATTTTTAAAAAGAGAAAGAGATTCAAAACCGAAAATACCTGCCAGCTA